GTGTGAAGAAACATAACGATGCGCTCTGAGTGATAGCGCAGTAATGTGCACTTGAGGTATAGGCTTTACTGGCATTTTAAAGCGCACTTCCGGGTTTTCCAATCACGAGTAAATCCGATTGCGAGTATCAAGTGTGATAAAACGAATACGAGTTAGACGAGTTCCAGATAGTAAACATTAGCAGCAGCTTATGTAATGAGTCAATTACAAAAGGATCAATGCAGATCACACTGCCAGGACTCTGACCTCCATATTGGCGGTCTCATCGTCGTTGGTGATCAGACCTACCACCGTCGCGTCGGCGGTGAACTTAATGATGGTGTTGGAGTAGTGCATGGCCACGCAGTCGTGGGTGAACAGGGAGTACAAGAGGGGACTAAGCACGCACCCCTGAAGAGCCCTCGTGTTGAGGGTCATCGTGGCGGATGTGTTGTCTACCCTCACCACCTGGGGGCATCCCGTCAGGAAGTCCAGGATCCAGTTGCAGAGGAAGTTGTTCAGTCCCAGGGTCCTTAGCTTAGTGATTAGCTTTGAGGGCACTATGGTGTTGAACTCTGAGCTGTAGTCAATGAACAGTATTCTCACGTAGGTGTTCCTTTTGTCCAAGTGGGAAAGGGCAATGTGGAGTGCAATAGAGATTGCATCATCTGTGGATCTGTTGGGGCGGTATGCGAATTGGAGTGGGTCCAGGGTGTGATAATGATAACCGTCTTGTGGGTAGACAGACTTTCTCAAAAAATTTCAATTAAATGTTAACTGCAAGGTAGGCTTACCTGACAAGTATAATCATGATCGAGTTTCAACGCTTCTACTAGTCAGACTCAATCTCACAGGCATAAATGTGACTCGAGTCGCGTTACCACGGTAACCTCCCAACCTTAAAGGGGCAGGTGAATTTGTTTCATCTGTGATATTTTGGTTAAGACTCACTTAACAAAAAATTAAATTAAACAATATACCACATTACTTCTTACTAGTAATAAATTTTTTGTTTTAGTAACATTACAAAGCATGCTCATCTGTTTTTGTTTTGTTGGTATAATTGTAGTGGGGGGGGGGGATATTTTGGCTGGTAAAAATAATTTGGCTGGTAAAAAGTCTGAGTGGCTGGTAGATTTTTTGGCCCCCGCAAACACCTTCATGACTGACCCCATGGCAAACCCCTTCACCCCTCTCACCTGCATTTAGACCATGCATTTTCTTCCTGCTCCCTAAACGTCTTTGCTCCGCGAAAGAAGATGACAGAACTTTACCGATGTCAACTAGATTGAATCATTCATTCTATCGATTTATGACATCTGGTGAGCAAGGGTTTATTTAGTTTTTTAGGGCAACATATAATTATAGATACTAACAAATAGCCTACCAAAATGTTGGAAATTATAAGCAGAAACATTATCTAAATCAGGCCCCCTGTCAAAAAAGTGTTCCGCCGTCTGACTAGCCCACAGCACATTTTCTATATTAGCGGGTTAGGGTCGGGTGCGGGCCTCAGATTTTCACTTAATCACATATAGTCGGGTGGTTGCGAATGGGTTATTAGCAATTGCGGGTGAAGAAACAGGTGACCTGCGCACCACTTGTCCATGTCTGGCCAAATATTTGCAGGTCCATATTCACAAATTTGTTTACATCCCTGTTAGTGAGCATTTCTCCTTTGCCAAGATAATCCATCCGCCTGACAGGTGTGGCATATCAAGAAGCTGATTAAACAGCATGATCATTACACAGGTGCACCTTGTGCTGGGGACAATAAAAGGCCACTCTAAAATGTGCAGTTTTGTCACACAATACAATGCCACAGATGTCTCAAGTTTTGAGTGTGCATTTGGCATTCGGACTGCAGGAATGTCCACCAGAGCTGTTGCCAGATAATTTAATGTTCATTTCTTTATCATAAGCCGCCTCAACGTCGTTTTAGAGAATTTGGCGGTATGTTCAACCGGCCTCAAAACCGCAGACCATGTGTATGGCGTTGTGTGGGCGAGCGGTTTGCTGATGTCAACGTTGTGAACAGAGTGCCCCATGGTGGGGTTATGGTATGGGCAGGCATTAGCTACTGACAACGAACACAATTGCATTTAATCGATGGCAATTTGAATGCACAGAGGTACCGTGACAAGATCCTGAGGCCCATTGTCGTGCCATGCATCCGCCGCTATCACCGTATGTTTCAGCATGATAATGCACGGCCGTCGCAATGATCTGTACACAATTCAAGGAAGCTGAAAATGTCCCAGCTCTTCCATGGCCTACATACTCACCAGACATGTCACCCATTGAGCATGTTTGGGATGCTCTGGATCGACGTGTACAACAGCTTGTTCCAGTTCCCGCCAATATCCAGCAATATTGCACAGTCATTGAAAAGGAGTGGGACAACATTCCACAGGCCACAATCAACCGCCTGATCAACTCTATGCGAAAGAGATGTCGCGCTGCATGAGGCAAATGGTCACACCAGATCCTGACTGGTTTCCTGATCCACGGCCATACTTTTTTTTTTTTTTTTAAAGGTGTCTGTGACCAACAGATGCATATCTGTATTCCCAGTCATGTGAAATCCATAGATTAGGGCCTAATGAATTTATTTCAATTGACTGATTTCCTTATTTGAACAGCAAGTTCTTTGAAATTGTTGCATGTTGCGCTTATATTTAAGGCGTTATTTCGGTTGCATGTAACTTTATTTAGACCTTTTTTGGAAGTACAGTGAGGGAATAAAGTATTTGATCCCCTGCTGATTTTGTACGTTTGCCCACTGACAAAGACATGATCAGTCTATAATTTTAATGGTAGGTTTATTTGAACAGTGAGAGACAGAATAACAACAACAAAATCCAGAAAAACGCATGTCAAAAATTTTATAAATTGATTTGCATTTTATTGAGGGAAATAAGTATTTGACCCCTCTGCAAAACATGACTTAGTACTTGGTGGCAAAACCCTTGTTGGCAATCACAGAGGTCAGACGTTTCTTGTAGTTGGCCACCAGGTTTGCACACATCTCAGGAGGGATTTTGTCCCACTCCTCTTTGCAGATCTTCTCCAAGTCATTAAGGTTTCGAGGCTGACATTTGGCAACTCGAACCTTCAGCTCCCTCCACAGAATTTCTATGGGATTAAGGTCTGGAGACTTGCTCCACTCCAGGACCTTAAAGTGCTTCTTCTTGAGCCACTCCTTTGTTGCCTTGGCCGTGTGTTTTGGGTCATTGTCATGCTGGAATACCCATCCACGACCCATTTCAATGCACTGGCTGAGGGAAGGAGGTTCTTACCCAAGATTTGACGGTACATGGCCCCGTCCATTGTCCCTTTGATGCGGTGAAGTTGTCCTGTCCCCTTAGCAGAAAAACACCCCCAAAGCATAATGTTTCCACCTCCATGTTTGACGGTGGGGATGGTGTTCTTGGGGTCATAGGCAGCATTCCTCCTCCTCCAAACACAGCGAGTTGAGTTGATGCCAAAGAGCTCGATTTTGGTCTCCTCTGACCACCACTTTCACCCAGTTCTCCTCTGAATCATTCAGATGTTCATTGGCAAACTTCAGACGGCCCTGTATATGTGCTTTCTTGAGCAGTGGGACCTTGCGGGCGCTGCAGGATTTCAGTCCTTCACGGCGTAGTGTGTTACCAATTGTTTTCTTGGTGACTATGGTCCCAGCTGCCTTGAGATCATTGACAAGATCCTCCCGTGTAGTTCTGGGCTGATTCCTCACCGTTCTCATGATCATTGCAACTCCACGAGGTGAGATCTTGCAGGGAGCCCCAGGCCGAGGGAAATTGACAATTATTTTGTGTTTCTTCCATTTGCGAATAATCGCACCAACTGTTGTCACCTTCTCACCAAGCTGCTTGGCAATGGTCTTGTAGCCCATTCCAGCCTTGTGTAGGTCTACAATCTTGTCCCTGACATCCTTGGAGAGCTCTTTGGTCTTGGCCATGGTGGAGCGTTTGGAATCTGATTGATTGATTACTTCTGTGGACAGGTGTCTTTTATACAGGTAACAAGCTGAGATTAGGAGCACTCCCTTTAAGAGTGTGCTCCTAATCTCAGCTCGTTACCTGTATAAAAGACACCTGGGAGCCAGTAATCTTTCTGATTGAGAGGGGGTTAAATACTTATTTCCCTCATTTAAAATGCAAATCAATTTATAACATTTTTGACATGCGTTTTTCTGGATTTTGTTGTTGTTATTCTGTCTCTCACTGTTCAAATAAACCTACCATTAAAATTATAGATTGATCATTTCTTTGTCAGTGGGCAAACGTACAAAATCAGCAGGGGATCAAATACTTTTTTCCCTCACTGTACATACTGGCCATAATGACTATTGTTGCTCAGGTTTACTCCATTCTTTGGTAAGTACCGAGCGTATTTTGACATTATTACGCTTGAAAAGCTGGTGAATGGCAAGTTGACATCATGCCTCACATTCCCCTGAACTTTCCCCTAAGTGTTCTTTTGAATCAATGGCCAAGCTTGCTAGCTAGACAAGCCATGAATATTCATAGCTAGGTACATAGCCTATATTTTAATCTTATGGTGAATGTGAAAAGCCAGATGCATACGTAATGTCATCAGTTTGTCCAGTCCAAAATAATATATATTATCTGTAGCTAACGTTAGCAAACACTGCTGTGGTTGTATGAAGCTAACATGGCCAACCAAAGTGTTTTATTGTTCCAGGCAGTGAAGATGCCAAAATTAAATTTGTAACTCTGATTAGCTTGGGTGGTGTTGTGGTTTATGCATATTCAAGGTTCATAGAATAGGGGCTAATACTAGAATGCAGATGCCTAAATTGGCATGTGCTATGACATTTCAATGTGATTCCTGGAATGACCTATTTTAGTCCCTTCAGTTGAATATGTCTGCGCTCATTGTAAACTTCAGTAAGCGCTCTTAGATCATGAGCGAGTGGAACTATGTCGGAGAATAGTAGGAAGCCTGCTTTGTGACCTTCCCTATCTGCATCCTCATCGGAGAATGTTCCACTGATGCAGCGCACGGACAGAAATGCCCAGTGCCTCAACTGCGGTGTCCAGCTCAGGGGCCATGTAATGTGATTTTCCCCTCTAAAAGGCACTAATACTGAAGAAAGGATCCCAACTTCTCTCCTACTTTCCCTACTTTAAGTAATTGCTGATCTGAAAGGGCTGGATTGGTGAGAGCAGTCGGGCGATAACTTTCTCTCACGTGATTAATACCTCAAAGAAGGATGCCAAGACACACACAGGGAGAGGTGCATTTTGGTACCTGCAGTCAGAACAGGCTGTAGTGAGGGAGAAGTGTGGCAATATGGAACTGACTGTTTTAGTTTTAGCAGGGCGGGTTGCGGTGATGAAGTGTAGGAGACCGACTGGTTCTGCAGTATTGGGTGCAGTAGAGCAGGCTGCAGTGGGGGAGTGTTGAAAGGGGAACTGAGAGAGCAGAGATTCGAGTGGAATGTTAAGAGACCACACCTCCCTGTATCATGCTACCACTACCAGCCACCCAAGCTCCACTATCATTACGCACTCACACCCCGTAAAGTTAGGCTATATCCCCCACACACACCACCGTTACTCTTATCGTAACATACGGTAGTCAAGAAATCTGGATGACTGAGATACAGAACTAGAATTAACTGGACTGGCGCCATAAGTGGCTGAGTGGGCCGACTTTACCACCTGCTCTCCTGAGAGGTTTTAGGAAGAGGGTGTGGAATTCTGCCCGTGTGTTTGGGGAGAGAGGGGGGAGAAACAGCGGTGCCATTTGTCTGTCTGGGTTACCACCATTGCTCTCTAGCCTAATGTCTGTGTTCTGAGTCAGTAACACACACTAACCACACTCACACACACTACCCTTTCCGTCCCCCTGAGGGAAGTTAGGACCTCTCTGAGCTGGTGTAAAGGAATAACTCCAGTGAGGCAGTAGACCTACTGCCATTTCTCCAGCAGGTGTCAGCAGAGCGCTGCTTTAGAAAAAGCTCTCCTTACAGGGAGTTCAGTTTTTTTTTCATATGGACATTTCATAACACCATCATATTAATCATGTGCTTTGGTGAAGTAACAGTACAGTTAGGCTAGAGAAATGGCCATCAGGCTATATGGAAGCCTTTTCACATGAGTCATCTAGGTGTGCCCCTTAGATATCCTGTACCTGATAAAGTTTGATGTGAAGGAATGAATGTGAATGCGTGTATAGTGATGCCCCTGTCCCATTGCAGAGATGTATTTACTACTCCTGCACTGGGGTAGGGACTGATCACCCCCACACCTGTTGTGTTTGAGTGCAATGCACTCATGGCGTTCTGACGGGAAGGGTGCAAAATTAAATGGGTAATCCTGCACATCTGGAGACTAGAGTGTGTGTGTGTGTGTGTGTCTCTAAACCCTCTGTTGCCCTTTCCCCAGGTCTGCTCCTGCTACAGAAGGCTCTGCGCCTGGCAACCGCCGCCTACAACAGACACAGGCCCAAGTGGATGAGGTACGACCCCCCCTCACCACACACACACACACCCTTCACTCTAAACATACTCAGCATACACAACTCTTACCACCTACAGCAGGAACTGCTCTCTTATGATTATCAGCTGTTGTCAAACACATTTAGGTCTGAAAAGATTATCTTCCTCATCAGTATGCAGCAAATTCATACTAGATGAGAAGATTAAATGAGTATGACATCCTGCCATTTAATGTGTACTCTATTTTTAGAATGTTCACATACTATAAAAACATTATATTCATGCCTATCGATACGGCAGTATGAGAATCCAGCCACAGACCCATCTTCATTTCCTAGTTGTAGCCTTCTACCTCCCTGGTCCTGTACAGTTTCCCCAGCCTAGCACAGTTATGTAGTCTCTGGCAGTGAGTCTCCAGAGTGTTTCTGTTAAACAGCAGACCGCCTGTGTATCTGTTTAGATGTCTGGGCCACACTGCCCTCAGGAAGAAAGGCTCACACACACAGGCACGCAGGCCCAAACAGATCCTTCCCTAGCCCTTATGCACTTGTGTAGATGTGAGAGTATTGGATAGGTTAGAAATATTGTAATATTTCCATTAAACATTCTACATTAGAATTTCTAATAGGCCTGGTGGAATTTGTGGGATTCATTTGGTTGACTGTAGAAGTTACTAACTCTGCTGTATTCAGGAAGAGCATCCATCAACCCTCTGCCTCACACGTGTCCCTCACACGCCTACCATACCCCTTTACTCCACCCTAACCCTCAGCTCTGTCGCAGTCTCACAACTCTCGCTGAAGCTCTTGGCTTCCCTGGGCATGTACAGTTGCTCCTAGCCAAGGATTATATAATAACTGGTAGTGTGTGTTCCAAGAAATACATGTTTGTTTTCAGTAGGAAGTCTTGTTTGTGTATCAGACTGGACACATACATAGAGCTTGCCTATATACCTCAGGGCAAGGCAATCACATCTACCTTCTCTTTAGCTGTATGTGGATAAAAAGCCATTTGTGCTCTGTCTCGCTCGCGTTCTCTTATCGCTCTGTCTCTCTCTCTCTCCATGGGGGGTAACTAGTGTACTTATGCCCCCCCCCCCCCCCCTCCCAATAACATTATCCCCTGTGTCCGACGCCTCCTGATAGGCTGCTGGTCTCTTATGTAATACATTTTGTCTCCATGGTTATGTAATCACTGCATGGGCAGGCACAAGCTGCCACCCCTCCCCTCTCAGTCTGTCTGGCGGGAGGGGCAGATCAGTGGAACATATGGGTTAGGCTATGTGCGCTTTGGGCAAAGAGAGAGCGAGAGTGTGCGTGTGGCAAGTTTGTTTTCTGGCGAGGTGTTCTGTTCCTTCTCTGTGGGCTTTATTATGCAACACTGAGCATCTCATTGAGACTGCAGCATTGCTGTCCTCACACAGTGGAGGATATAGACAGTATTGGTGTTGTCTCTGACAGGCCCTGCATGGTTGTGCATGAAGACATTAATTTCTTATGCAGTCTAGACGGTCTCTGGGCTCGTATTAAAAAAAAAACTCTCAGAATTGGAGTGCTTATCCAGGATCCGGTCCCCCTGCCCTGTCCATATGTTATTTATTATAATCTGAAAGGCTAAACTGGCACACATGTTCTCATTTCAGCTCAACCTGAGTTTACTGCAGAAACTAACAAACTCTCATATAAATGACTTTTTCCCATTTTAAAATGTGTGTGTGTAGGTGGTGGATATCATGCGTGTGAATGTGGACAAGGTGTTGGAGCGTGACTCGAAGCTGTCGGAGCTGGACGACAGGGCGGATGCATTGCAGGCCGGAGCCTCCCAGTTTGAGACCAGCGCTGCCAAACTCAAAAGGAAGTTCTGGTGGAAGAACTGCAAGGTGCAGTACACACACACACACACACACACACACACACACACACACACAACAGCATATTGAGATGTGTGTGATCTGTGCTCTCCAGATGTGGGCCATCCTGATAGCGGTTATAGTCATCATCCTGGTCATCATCATCGGTGAGTATAGCTCTGGGTGGAACAGTATGGGTGGGTAGTAGTGCTGTGCGGGTTGACTCAGAACCTGCAGTCCCCACGGGTTTAGGGTCATGAAATATTGTGTGGAAGAAGGGCGGGTGGGTGGCGGGCAGGTTGAATAAATAGAACAATACCTTTAAAAAATCCATAAATGTAGGCTATCATTCTTGTGCAATTTATATCTCTAGGCTACATTGAGGTTTTTCTTTAAGCCTAAAATGTAGGGCCAAACTGTGCACGAGCCAAATAGCCTACACACCAATCGCCAAATGCTTTTGGGAACAGGCAGAAAAAGTAAGGACAATGTCAGAGTTTAATTCAATAAGACAAAAGCTGTGAAATGGAGAGTTGAAAGTAGAGAGAAGGGAGGGCCAGAAAAGTAATCTTTAGGAAAGATTTAGTGAAGTGGTAAAAGATCATAGCAGGGAATATTATTTGTGATGATTGAGGCGCTATACAAATTCCACAGTCACAAGATGGGGACTTCAAATAGGCCTATGGCAAGTCAAGGGAACTTCAGCCTACTGTTCAACGTGATCCCAGAGCATTTCATATTATTCTGTATGTAAATCCGATACACTCCATTTACTATGATATTTTACATTTCTTAAGGTATGTATTAATTTGTGGATCTCCATCATCCATTTGTTATATGTTACAAATTGCAATTCGTATACAATGTTATGAATTTGCAACACGTATGATATGTTACGAATTCCAATTTATTGTTGCTAATGTTAGCTCGATGGCTAATGCTAACATTAGCTAGCTTTAGGAGTTGGGTTGAAGGGTTATTTTTCTTTATTAACCTTTATTTTAACAGGGTGTCATTGAGACCAAGTCTCTTTTTCAAATAAGCCCTGCACAATACAAACACACATCAATAGAAAACAAACTAAATTGCAAAACATTATCATAAAAAAACACAATCTTCGCTTAGAGCATTCCCCTCTGTTTTAAATTCCATAAAGGGCAACAGGCATTGAAGCCTGAGCCTCCCCTGCAACACATTGTACATCTGTGGAGCATAAAAACCAAAAGCAGCTCTCCCTAAATCAGAAGCCACCCTTAGAACCTCCAGCACTATCCAATCTTGTGATCTTGTACTATATTCTATTGTTTTGACCTTGATAAGTGTTATGTATGAGTTTCAAAGTAGCTAAAAGGTAGTAAGTAGTTCCTAATTGCTAAAATTGTCTGTGAGATTCGAACATGCTACCTTTGGGTTGCTAGACGTTCGTGTTATACGCCTACCCATCCACCCCGACCAATCACACTACTTTAGTTTTTGCCTTAAATAACCTTATCTTATGTTACCATACCAAATGTAACATACTGTATCATACTAATTGAAGTGTCCCGGATTATGTTTACTATGCTACGTATAGTGTATGAGACCAATCTGACTGTTCAGATGGGTTAAATGGAAACTGAAATCTGGACACTGACTGTTGGTCTATAACCTCTCACATAGCCTTAATTTTAACTCCTGCAGAATTAAGCATTTCTTGCCTCGGGAACAGGAGTGGTGTTATAGGTTTAGTTTTTTTCCATTTTATGTTTTGAGGTTGGACTTGAGCACGTGTAGGGCGCACTGATTAGTGTCACCTCGTTAGTCGGTATGTGTTACACCTGTGCTGGTTGCCATCTCGTTAGTGGGAAGGAGTTTCACCTGTGCTGGCCCAGGTGATATTTAAGAGTGGTTGGCCCAGTGCTCTAGTGGTCTTGAGAGATGTGGAGGGTTAACAGCTTTAGTTGGCTCTCCCTATTTTGACTTCTAGACAAACAATCCTTTATCAGATTTTTTTGTTTTTGTTTTGCTCCACTTTTTGGTTTGTTCTGGTCTTAAGTTTGGTGTGGGTTTTTATTTTGTTTCCCTCTTCTTGGGCAAATTTAGTTGGGTGCTCATGGTGGTGTCTTTTAGGTTCCAGTTGTTGTTGCTAGTAAACTTTCAGTGGACACCACCATGAGTGTCTTTCAGAACCCCATCTAAAACCCCACCTGTTTCGTTTTGGCAGTTGTAACTCTTTGTTAGTTCCCCCTTCTGTTTGAGCAACCATTATTTAGTTTTCTTGCTTGGGAACGTAACAGTGGAGAAATTATTTCATTCTTTCAGCATTTTGAGAGAATGTGAATGCCAGTTAGCACCTTTACAGACGGTCCCTATATTTATCAGCAATATAAAAGCTGATATTCTTTATTTCAACCATTATACAATATGCATCCAAGGTGAACTGAAATTGTATCAGAAACATTGTTTTCACAGCTTTCTATTTCCTTACAACTGGTCAAACTGATGTCATTTGGACATTTTGCACAGAAAATATTGGAGTTATTGCATTTTCTACCCGGTCCCTAAATGTCATTGCTCCACGAAAGAAGCAGAGATGACATCGGTGAAGTTGTCGGTCAACTAGAACTAGATTGAAGCATTAATTTCATTCTATCGATTTATGACAGTCTGGTGAGCAAGGGTATTTTGATGACTGAAGAGAAGCTGCATGTATCTAATTATAGACAAGTTGACTAACAAATAGCCTACCAAAATGTTGGAAATTATAAGCAGAAACGAATCCTGTACCCCACAGTCAAAAAGTAGTTTTGCCATCTCTGACTGTAGCCTACAGCGCATATATTTATGGGTTGGGTGTGGGCCTTGGACTTTCACTTTATCACATAGTCGGCCGGTTGTGGATGGGTTATTAGAAACTGCGGGTGGGTTATTAGCAGTTGCCGGGGGGGTGAACAAACGGCTAACCCGCGCACCATTAGTGGGTAGGGCCAATACTGGGAACAAAGGTTATGACTAGGTTGAGTGAGGCCTATGACTCTTTCCTTCATGTGGTTGTCTGTGTGTGCCTAACTCCTCTCTGCCTTCTATGTCAGTCTGGAGCACAGTGCCGTAAAGAAGCAGTTGTTGGAGGCGGAAGAGGAATGGAGCGAATGATGGAGAGGAGCGAGTAAAGAGCTGAATGTCTCAAACACGATGTCTCATGGTTTAGCCTACTGAGCTTCAAAGCCCATTCTATACAGCAGTTGTCTTTCTTTCTGATCCCGGAGGGCCTATCCAGTGAGATTTAGAATGATACATTGCAGATAGAAATGTATTGCATGGAACTGACACCATTCTTCATTCCATGATAGAAAGTCATGTTCATTTTGTACAGTACCTTTTCTATCTGCAACTCTCTGAATGTACCTGCTGAATAGACTCCTGGTTAAACTATATATAAATGTCAGACACACACACACTGTGGCCCTCCAGCACCAGGAGTGAAGCACACTGCTTTGAATTTCTCCCCGTTATATTTTTATTTTTTGTTTTTATTAATAATACTAATATATTTGATTGTGTGTGTGGCAGAGCGAGACAAGTCCCTGTGTGCTTTCCTGTTAGTCTCTACTGTAATATTGACCTGATGTGCCAAGGAGTCACCCGCCACCCCCTTAAACACACACACACACACACACACACACCAGTGTGAAGTCCCACACCAGTCATCAGATCAGAACACCAAATGACATGGACTATTGGATTATTATATCCACAAACAACTGGGCATGGCTGAGATTCAGTCTCAACCTTGTTCCCGTCTCTAATGGGACTGGGTGTGTGTGACCCTAAATATGTGGGCTTGAGTTCAGAGAAACTCCCAAGATGCCAAGACAGGCACACAAGCCTTGTTTCTTTTCTGTTTGTCAGTCATTTTGGTCGAGCAGACTATGATACTGCCACTGCCATCAGTGCCACTCCTGTCATATAAAAATAGGGCCTTAAGTAGTGATTCATGTCAAAGCACCAAACAATAGATATCAGGCAAAGATGGGGGATGACATTTCGGCTGCCTTGAACTTAAGAAACACAGCCAAAAGACAGCCAAGCCTTATCGAACCAACATACAGAACCAGCAGTGCCTTTTCAATGGTCTGCATATTCATGCCCGCACACACATACAGGCACTAATGGTCTTCTTCTCTGCAGGCTCCTGCTATCCTTCATATTATGCTACTCACCAAGTCCACTCACCGCTGTATGAGAATTCTAGAACCGTTCAAATTTTTTTATTAATTTGATGCCAATAAATGTATTTGTTTTTGTTCCATAAATATCTTTGCTGTGTAGTGTTACTAATCTTAAGAGAGAAACTGTGTGGTTTATTTTTCTTTGCATACTGAAATGCCTTTAGTTGCCATGATACATTTGCTTCTGCAGTGAAGAGCATCATGGATGTTTGGGAAGGAGGAACTGTCAGGAGCATGTTCAGTATGTGTCACCCCCTTTTAAAGGGTGCCAAAACCAAGGGCCTATTCTCTGGGGTGCAACTCTATGGATCCTTCAGAGGTGTATTGCATAGAACCAATGTCACTGTCTTGTTGAAGAGTGAATTTTGTTCAATTCATTACATTTCTATCTGAAGTGCTCTAAAGATGTTTGAACTTACTGAATAAACTCCAGCCCTGCCAAATAAGCCTTACCCAAGTCTACCCCTCCCTGTGTGAATATTAGAAAGAAGTGCAATTGTACTATGTGGCTTTACAATGTTGTCTTGCTTGAATAAAAACAGATTTAACTATCACACAAGTGTACATACAGTATGTCTTCTGTGTCAGTATGAATGGGAGAGAGTGGGAGACTGTTTCTGGATTCAGGCAAGGCAAGTGAATAGCGCCACATGGTGTGTTGGCCCCTGCAGGTGTGGTAATGCACGTCAGATTTTCAGCCAATAGCAGGCTTGATTGTGCAGGAGAAAGTCCCTTTTGAGTTTGTCAATCCCATCTCTGGGGACCTGCCCAACAAAACCTCAGAGAGCAGCAACACTGGTGGGTTCACTTTCATTTGATCAGCATTCTCTACTACAGTACATGTATAGTACCCTCTAAAATAGCTAATATTCATGTAAATATCTTATTTAGTGATTCCAATTGGCCATTTGTGAGCCTGACTGAGTCACTGTCCCTCTTCCTAATTCATCAAATCATTCTCCACTACAGGACACCTTTGTATTGTCAAGTGTCAAAGAAAGTGTTTTAAACATTTCATTGACTGATCATCGCTATTATAGGAGCATTATTGCTCATAATGATGGGACATTTTCATTTACATTTACGTCATTTAGCAGACGCTCTTATCCAGAGCGACTTACAAATTTCCATCCTCTTTTGTTTATTCTCCACATGTCCATTTCCTATTTAAATATTCGTTTTTATGTTCTAGGCGAACTCAAATTGCATTTCCCTTTTTATATTGTGTTTGGTCACTATTATCAATATTATTGTTGTGGGAACTTTATCATTCATTGTAAAGGGGACTTTAGTGTGTGGTAATTCAAGTAGGCCTAGCTCACAACTGCCTGCGTCTCATTGACCCAGTAAACTAGGCCTACTTACTATGGTGCGCGGGTTAGCTGTTTGTTCACCAGCACCCAGCCCGCATTTGCTACTAACGCATCCGCTTCCGCCTGACTATATGTGATAAAGTTAGCCTGCAACCAGACTCTTAGCCAATTTATGCTTGATCCGAAAATGTGGTCAGAGGCTCCTTATGGAGGGTGTGACGCAATTGCGGAGTCTCCGGAGGCCTGCAGAGGCCAAATCGAGCGCCTCCCAAATGTTGTAATGCAGACGGCTCCATATAGCTCCACACTGACATGATTGGTTTGGTTGAAGGTAGGTAGGTGGGGGCTGTAGGTCCTGTATAAACACAAACTCACTTCCTTGACAACTTCCTTCACAACAGCAGCCTTACCCCCAAATATAGAAAATACAGTTTTAGGCTACAGTCCGATAGGGTAACGATTTTTTGACAGGGGATGCAGGATTTTTACCTCATTTAGATATGTTTCTGCTTATAATTTCCAACATTTTGGTAGGCTATTTATTAGTCAACTTGTCAATAATTAGATAAATGCAGCTTCTCTTCTGTCATATGTTGCCCTAGATGACTAAATAAACCCTTGCTCAACAGAATGTCATAAATCAATAGAATGAAATGAATGCTTCAATCTAGTTCACATTGGAGAAGTTTGCTCTGTCATCTCCGCTTCTTTCGGGGAACAAAGACGTTTAGGCACCAGGGAGAAAATGCAAAACTCAAAAAAAGGGGAAAGATTTTCCGTGCAAAATGCCAAAATTACATCAGCTTGACCGGTTGTAAGGAAATAGAAAGCTGTGAAAACAACTAAACGATTTCATATTTTATGTGGTTGAAATACTATCAGCTTTTATGATGCCAATAAAGATATCATCTCTACAGAAGGTCCCTAACTGTGCATTCATGTTCTCTCAAGATGCTGGAATAAATAAATAATATTTCTCCACTCCTGTTCCAGAGGCAAAATGTACATTTGGTGTATCAGTTAATATTAAAAGGCTACAGTCAGTGTCCAATTTCATTTTTCATTTTAACAGAGTAGGCTAAAGTTCCCTTGACGTGCCTTAGGGCTATTTGAAGTCCCCATGTTGTGACGCGAATTTTTATAGTGCCTCACAATCAGCACACATAACATTCGTTGCTATCATCCTCTACCACTTCACTAAATCTTTCTCAAACATTACTTTGCTGCCCCTTCTCTCTATTTTCAACTCTCCGTTTCGTAGCCTTTCTCTTATTGAATTAAACTCCGACATTGTCCTTACTTTTTTTGCCATTCCCAAAAGCATTTGGCGATTGTCATAGGCTATTTGGCGCGCGTACATTTAGGCCCTAAAGTTTAGGCTTACGAACTAATGCCAGATAGGCTTTAAAATAATTAACGAAAAACCTCAATGTAGCGTATAGATATATATAAATTGCACAATAATTATACATTTATGGCTTTTTAATGTATTGTTTAATTTTTATTCAACCCTCCGCCACCTAACCGCCCTTCATCCACACAATATTTCATAACCCTAAACCCACAGGGACTGCATGTTCTGAGTCAACCCGCCCATCACTATTAAAGGCGCTACATGGTCAATCTGACGTCTGCAGTGGCCGCAGAGCATTTTTTGCGATACGTTCTCTGCAGAAGTCAGGACATTTATACTTCTTCCCTTCGCTGAGCAGATCTGTTGTCAAGGAAGTGAATTTGTGTTTATACAGGCCCTCCCACCCCCACCTACCGTCAACCAATCATGTCAATGAGGAGCTATACTGAGCCCTCCGCATTGTTACAACATTTGGGCGGTGCACAGCGAAGCGGTACAGAGCTCAATTTGGCATCTGCATGGCTCCGCAATTGCGTCAGACTCGCCATTTGGCGCCTCCGACCACATTTTCGGATCAAGCATAAATTGGCTTTTAGGCTACCTTTTTCTCCTCACGGAAAGAGAACCATCTTTCCGTGAGCCAATCCGGAGGGGAAATTGTGTGACTACATAAATAAGCCCCGCCTGCAGTTGTGTCGACCACAAACACTAAAAACAGCGCCTTGTGTTCCTCCTGTAGTGTCCACGTGAACCAAGCCAGCGGCTGACAGATCCCTACGTCCAGACACGCCCACAGCCTGCGCTCTGACCAATCATAGGCGATTAAGGCAAATTAGTCTAGCGAATGAGCGTTGGATGGGCGTGGTTTATGCTGCCAGTTTTCACGTTGCTGAAATGTGTCAACCGCTTGGTCTTGGAATGGACGAGTGTCTGGCTGCTAAATGGGAGAAAAGCAAAACCAACATATTAGCACGAGTTTCCTCGAATACACAAGTCCGACTGATGGATTTTATGTTTTGGGGAATGCACATGCGAATAGAAAATAAAAAAGATCACATAAGAAGACTACAAGCTCGAAGTGGACTATCGTAGTTAGCTAACGTAGCCAGCCACACCACCATTTCAGGTACCTGAGAATGTAAACAAATGTATTTTATTTATTTAACCTTTATTTCAACAGGGAGTCATGCTGAGACCAAGGTCTCTTTCTTAGATGAGCCCTGCGTACACATCAATATACACTATAGGCTACACATGAATAATAAACATCAATATACACACTTATATTCAAATCAATACACCAAAAGCAAAACACTATCATAGAAAACAAACACATTCTTCATTAAAAATGTCCTCAATTAGCCTTTTGAATTTCCCTAGAGGCACCATCCAACTTTAGAGTGCCTTGGAGAAATGTGAAAATGTTACTGAGACATGTCCTGTGTTGAGTGTTGTATCCTTGTTTTAAAACAGTGTTGTGAATTACTCTTTGGATGAGTGGGTTCCCTTAAACAATTAGCCAGCGTTTCGTGTCAGTTTAGGGCAGGGCAACGGCGGCTCCCGGATCAATTTCCAAAAACGAAAAAAAAAGATATAGGCTATGTATATATATTTTTAAGAAACTTAGTCGAGGTCTGAACTTACTGTTGAGAGTTAGAATACACAAGGTACAATTTCGAAATTTGGTTGTGCATTATCAGTTTATATGTACATTCTTTTTAGATTGGTAAATTAGTCTAGTGGCCAACTATCTAAACTTGTAGTAATCATCATAGCCACCGGAAGCAGGAGTGCTGATGGATCATGTCAGGACACGCCAGTGCTTCTCCACAGGTGGGTGGGGACTAGAGTTTTAAAGCTCTTGTAGCCCTTGTGTAGTATTCTCTCCAGTAGCGTCACTCACTACCATGGGTAAATAAACTAGAACGCTGGCCTGTGCTGCTGACACCTAACAGTTTACTTGTCGTGAGAGAAGCATCCCCGGTCAGAAAATCCAAGGTCCAATCAGAGTTAATTTAGGAAGCCCTCACCTGTGGGGGTGGGGCTTGAGCAGCAGGAGCTGGTTTTGTGATGCAGCAGTGGTGGACGTGATAACCCATGGAGAGGGAACCCACTAGAGGTGTTGCTGCGTTCCTAATTTCCCACCCTTCTCCCTGAAGTGTGCACTTGCTCAGTCTCCCTCATTGGATCATTGTGAGGATGGGCTATCCCTGCTCATCATCACATATCATAAAAATAGTGATGAGTAATTAAAAACATAATCTTTCTTTAGGTCTGTAGTAGTGTCTGTCTGTCTGTCTGTCTGTCTGTCTGTCTTGCATGCATCGGCACTGGCAGTCCCGTGGGCTAAAACTTTGATTATAAGACTGTCTCTGTTGCTCTATTCTGTATCTGAGCGAAAACGGACATTTTGCCTCCATCCAGGATTGGAGTAACCATGACCAAACTCTAGTCTAGATAAAGAAACAAAATCAGTTTGTTTGTTTACCTTTTTCTCTCCCATGTCATTACCACTTAGCAATTAACATGGGTGTAAACATAAGCTAGAAACATTCCTGTCTAGAAGCCGGGGGTAGCGAGAATTGTATTGGACAGACAGGCCTGTATACTTACAGATGGATGGACAGAGTATACAGACAGATGGACGTACACACTGATGTGTGTTTCCCCCGCTCTCCCTGACCTGTCCACTCTGACTCCAGAGAGAGCCCATGGATGGAATTATCTGTTGGTCAGTAGAGAGAGACTGCCTCTACTCTACTCTACCCCTCTCTTTCTGCCTCTCTGCCTCCCCATCTCTCTCAGCCTTCCCCTTCCTTCCCTGTCTCTCTCCTGTCTTCCTTGAACCTTTCTCCCTGGCTTCCTCTTCCCTTCTCTCTATCTGCCCCCTCTCTCTTTCTCATGTGTTGGATGACCATGCTGTTAGTAGAATAATGTAGCTGTCTTCCAACAGCGTATTGCCATTCTTTACAGTATCATAGGCCCAAGGCTGCTTTGTCGATTGAGATTGTTTTTCCCATAAAAAAAACTAAACAAAACAAAAACAAGTAAACCATTATTTTTTTACTCAAACCACCTGCGGGCCAGATCTGGTTCACGAGCCCATTTAGGGCTCGTGGACCAGATCCGGCCCGCAGGTCTTGAGTTTTTTACACGTGCAATATATCATAGTGACAATGTGCCTTGTACTGATATTGGATCTCCTCTCTCTCTCTCTATTTCTCTCACTTTTTCTCCCCGCAGTGCTCTACAGACCACGCCTTTACGCCCAACACTCATAACATACCTTATAACCACACCTTATAACCCCAGACTACCCATGGGCCTCTGAACTACTTCTCTGCTGATGAACAAGCCCATTGACTAGTGTAGTTGGACACAGTGGATTGATTATTAACTCCTAAAGGGGCAAGGTTTGGGAATGGCTGGAGGAGATAGCGGTCCGGAAGGTGAGGAACCCTCATCACCCCCGACGACTGGGGAGGGAGGTGGGAAGGGGGATGTGTTTCCAGGAAAACAAGGAGATGGGGAAGGGGTGAGGGAGGAGAGGTTAGGGGGAGAGGAGAGTGGTGGAGAGCCCTCTGGCGGAGAGGTGGGGCAGGAAGACGAGGAGATGGCCAGTGGAACACATGACCTCTCCGCCTCGGTCAATCACAGCCCTCGCAGCAACAGTGGCTCCACATCAACCAAGAGGTAACGTCCTATACAACTTCCTGTTTGCTCACCAAGACTTGGTTCTCCACCCCATCCTTTTTACGCTGCTGCTACTCTGTTAATTATTTATGCATAGTCACTTTAACTCTACCCACATGTACATATTACCTCAACTAGCCGGTGCCCCCGCACATTGACTCTGCAACGGTACCCCCCTGTATATATAGCCTCCCTACTGTTATTTTATTTTACTTCTGCTCTTTTTTTTCTCAACACTTTTTTTGTTGTTGTTTTATTTTTACTTTTTTGTTAAAAATAAATGCACTGTTGGTTAAGGGCTGTAAGTAAGCATTTCACTGTGATGTCTGCACCTGTTGTATTCGGCGCATGTGATCAATACAATTTGATTTGATTTGATTTGAAAACCACCCAACAAAGCTACTCAACAAAAATACCCTACAAAACTACCCAACAAAACTACTCAACAGCGCTGTGTCATCACTAGAGTGAGCCAAACAGCCTGCCAATTTGTCCCAATGTGTCCTCTCCCAATGGTGAACGTGCATAAAGATGTTAGGTCTTTGTTTTTAGCACTACCCACAGAGTTCTTAAACTATGGCGCGCAACATGGTTCAATTTGCCAGTAAATTAGCATAATCTACTTTTTTGTTTTTTCAAATTGCCGCCGTCTTGGAACTAGAATTGGGATCATATATACAGCGCTAATGCCGATAAAATAAAAAAAATAAAAAAAAAAAAAAAAAGATTAACGGAGAACAATGTACAATACGGTGAACTTAGCAAACAAGGCATTTGTGGTAAGTACATGGGGGCTGCCATCTTTATGCACCTTCACCATTACCAATTGTGGCCTCAAATCATTTGGCATCAATTGTTTTCATCTGGTCATTTTTGGGTTAACAGCCCTAAATGCTGTTTCGTTGGTCTAGTTGTGCCCTGCCTAAGGAATTGTCTCAAACTATTCTCTAGGCCTAACTAAAGCGGTCTAAATCTAGGACACATTCATTCAAACTAAACTGTCTAACGTCTTGGCAATTCAGGCAATTAAGGCTTCCGTAATCCTTTGTGCAATTACGTCGTGGGGTATACCACACTAGATTGCAGATTTCTGATTTTCTGTATTTCTCCCCATACCTCTCCCCCCACCCTCTCATCCCTCTCTCCTCTCCTCCTCCAGTTCTAAGTCTTATACTGGCTCGTTCTCCTGTAGTCTCCACAGCTCCCTCTCTGGACAGGCAGGCCAACACATGGAGGGTAGCGCCTGGTGGGTGGCTGTGTGTCTAACGATATTGTGTGTGTGTTGCAGTATTGTGCGTGTGTGTTTCTAAATCAAATCAATCAAGTCAAATTGTATTTGTCACATGCGCCGAATACAACAGGTGTTGACTTTACTGTGAAATGCTTACTTACGAGCCCTTTCCCAACAATGCAGGGTTAAAAAGTACGAACAATTTTCTAAATACAAAAAGGAAATAGTAACACAATAAAATAACAATAACGAGGCAATATACAAGGAGTACCGTTACCGAGTCAATGTGCAGTGGTACGAGGTAATTGAGGTAATATGTACATGTAGGTAGGGTTAAAAGTGACTAGGCAATCAGGATAGATAATAAAGAGTAGCAGCAGCGTGTGTGTGTGTGGGTAGAGTCCAGTGAGTGTGCATAGAGCCAGTGCAAGAGTCAGTGCAAAAGCAAGCGGGTCAATGCAATTAGTCCGGGTAGCCATTTGATTAACTGTTCAGCAGTCTTATGGCTTGGGGGTAGAAGCTGTTCAGGAGCCTTTTGGTCCCATACTTGGCGCTCCGGTACCGCTTGCCGTGCGGTAGCAGAGAGAACAGTCTATAACTTGGATGGCTGAAGTAGTTGACAATATTTTAGGGCCTTCCTCTGACACCGCCTGGTATAGAGGTCCTGGATGGCAGGGAGCTCGGCCCCAGTGATGTACTGGGCTGTACGCACTACCCTCTGCAGCGCCTTACGGTCGGATGCCAAGCAGTTGCCATACCAAGTGGTGATGCAGCCAGTCAAGATGCTCTTAATGGTGCAGCTGTAGAACCTTTTGAGGATCTGAGGGCCCATGCCAAATCTTTCAGCCAACTGAGGGGGAAGAGGCGTTGTCGTGCCCTCTTCATGATTGTGTTGATGTGTTTGGATCATGACAGGTCCTTAGTGATGTGGACACCGAGGAACTTGAAGCTCTCGACCCCCTCCACTACAGCCCCTCCGTTTCCTGTAATCCACAATCAGCTCCTTTATTTTGCTGACGTTGAGGTAGAGGTTGTTTTCCTGACACCACACTGCCAGGTCTCTGACCTCCTCCCTATAGGCTGTCTCATCGTCGTCGGTGATCAGGCCTACCACCGCTGTGTTGGAGTCGTGCGCAGCCACGCAGTCGTGGGTGAACTGGGAGTACAGGAGGGGACTATGCACACGCCCCTGAGGGGCCCCCATGTTGAGGGTCAGCGTGACGGATGAGTTGTTGCCTACCCTCACCACTAGCCTAATAAAATAAAATACTAAATACTATACCTGGGGCCACCCCGTCAGGAAGTCTAGGATCCAGTTGCAGAGGGAGGTGTTCAGTCCCAGGGTCCTTAGCTTAGTGATGAGCTTGGCGGGCACTATGGTGTTCAACACTGTGCTGTAGTCAATGAACAGCATTCTAACGTAGGTGTTCCTTTTGTCCAAGTGGGAAAAGGCAGTGTGGAGTACAATAGAGATTGTGTCATCTGTGGATCTGTTGGGGTGGTATGCAAATTAGATTGGGTCTGGGATGATGGTGTTGATGTGAGCCATGACCAGCCTTTTAAAGCATTGCATGGCTACAGATGTGAGTGCTACGTGGCGATAGTCATTTAGACAGGTTATGTTGGTGTTCTTGGACACAGGGACTATGGTGGTCTGCTCAAAAAATGTCAGAGAGGACACTTGCCAGTTGGTCTGCGCATGCTATGAGTACGTGTCCTGGTAATCCGTCTGGCCCAGCTGCCTTGTGAATGTTAACCTATTTAAAGATCTCACTCACATTGGCAATGGAGAGCGTGATCACACACTTGTCCGGAACAGCTGGTGCTCTCATGCATGGTTCAGTGTTTCTTGCCTCGACGCGAGCATAGAAGGCATTTAGCTCGTCTGGTAGGCTCGCGTCACTGGGCAGCTCGCGGCTGGGTTTCCCTTTTGTAATCCGTGATAGTTTCCATCGGATGAATCCCAGAACATATTCCAGTCTGTGCTAGTGAAACCATCCTGTAGTTTAGCATCCGCTTCATCGGACCACTTCCGTATTAAGCACGTCACTGGTACTTCCTCCTGTTTTGAGTTTTTGCTTGTAAGCAGGAATCAGGAGGATAGACATGGTCAATTTTGCCAAATGGAAGGCGAGAGAGAGCTTTTTATGCGTCTCTGTGTGTGGAGTAAAGGTGATCTAGACACAGGTGACATGTTGGTAGAAATGAGGTAAGACGGATTTCAGTTTTCCTGTATTAAAATCACCGGCCACTAGGAGCGCCGCCTCTATTGATTATTGATTGTGTGTGTGTGTGTTTCTATTGATTATGTGTGTGTTTAACCAACTTGTGTCTGTCTAATAATATTGTGTGTTTGTTGAACAGTGAGCAGACTGATGCAGGTCGGGGGCAGGCTCACAGGGAAATGATGGTGACAGTAGCTGAGATGAAGAAGACTGTTCCGTCAGACAAATGCAGTCGCAGTAAAGCCAGCACTGTGGAGGCGCTACACTACGCACTCAACTGTGTCAAACAAGTCCAATGTAAAACACAGTACTAAAACTAGAGCGTGAGGTTAGGGGATTAACCAGAAAGCCTGACTAGAGAGAGCAAGCTTGTTATTCACTTAGCCTTAGTTTGTACTATCTTCCTGTTTTCCTCATTATTTTTCATTAAAAAAGAAAGTTGGACAATGAGAGTGAAGCGTTTGCTTGGATTAAAAATGAGTGTTGAGTATTGTATTTGTGGCACCCTCTGTAGCCAACAGTGAGTACTACAAGCTGCTACTGCGTAACAGCCAGGAGGAGAGACCAGACTCCACGTCCTGTAGATTAGAGGAGCTGAAGAGAGTCACCTCTGAACACACCTTCAAAAACACGGTACACAGCACACACACACTCATACACAATACACTTATACACACAGTACACAACACACACTCATACAGACACCTTCAAAAACATGGTACAAGACACACTTATACACACAGCCTTAGAAACATGGAAAACAACCCCCCTAAAGTGCTTTTGGTTTTACTGTATATTAAAGTCTTGCATATCTGGTACACACACCGGCTTGTGTGTGGTCTTCTACGTGCGTGTGGGTATGGGTGTGTGTGTGTGTGCGTGTACATGCATGTGTTTCTGTGTGTTTAGGACTCGTTCTTGGTGGTGTTTTCCCTGGCGAGCGGGTGCGTGATGTACGCCTCGGAGCAGGCTCCCAGCATCCTTTGCTGTAAGAAGAAGTTCCTGGACTCGGCTAAGTTTGTGGAGCTGCTGTTCCACCAGGACGTCAACGTGTTCTACTCACACACCGCCCAGCCACACCTACCACCCTGGAGCAGCTCACACAGTGGTACGTACGTGTGTGTATGTATGTGTTTGTTTGCGTGTGTGTGTGTGGTGTTGAGTGATGAGTGTGTAACCCCTATTTTCTCCCATCTCTCTACAGCGGCAGTTCTGTTTGAGTGTGCCCAGGTCAAGTCCTTCTTCTGCAGGATCAGGTGTGTGTGTCTGTGTGTAGAGGCAGTAATCTGCAAAGTACATGTGTGTGTATAGATGTGTCAGTATGTATTTGTTTTAGGCCTTTGTATATAACCTGTGTGTGTGTGTGTGTGTGTGTGTGTGTGTGTAGGGGTGGTAAGGACCGTGAGGGGGAGATGCGCTACAACCCGTTCAAGATCACTCCCTATCCGCTGAAGGTGCAAGGAGGCGGAGCTTTAGGAGAGGAGGAGGAGTCGTGTTGTCTGGCGCTGGCTGAACGCATCATCTCAGGATATGAGGGTACGCCCTGCCACCACCACAACACCAACCCAACCTCACACTTCCATTTCTCCCTTTTAGTCATATAGCAAGACTCTCTTATCAGGTAAGAGAACTACATATCACCATCATTGCAAGTTAAAACGCCATCTGCGAAATTTGTGCTAGTAAAAAGAAACACAAGTACAACAGTTAAGTGCTGAGGTATTTTGGGGGTCTGGGGGGGGGGGGTGTTAGGAGGGGGAAGGGTCAGTGGTAGGGGATCCAAGGTGCAGTCTAAAGTGCTGGGTTTTCAGTCTGTGCTCCGGCGGAACGACTCTGCTGTCCTGACCATGGTGGGGAGGTTCTTCCACCACTGAGGTGCCAGGACAGAGAAGAGACGTGACCGCGATGGAGGTGCCAAGCGGCCAGAGGTGGCAGAACGGAGGTGTAGGTTATGACCATATCCACGGAGGTAGGGGAGAAGTAGAGAATGACAGTTTCATAAAGAGATACAATGTTCTTCATTGCCAACATTCAGTTTATAGTAAGTTTGGTATGTCTAGCTCAAAAGGTTTAGGAGGAGATGGCTAGAATATTCTGAGGAGAATGGAAGATTCCATAGAGCGTTATGAATGTTGTTGCTGGTGGAGTTAGTGGAGGCTGACCTTGTTTGCTGCTGTTGCTCCTGCAGCTCCCCGTATCCCCATGGACAAAAGCATCTTCACCACCACACACTCCCCGGGTTGTGTGTTCCTGGAGGTGGACGATCGGTCAGTACACATACAGTGGGGAAAAAAAGTATTTAGTCAGCCACCAATTGTGCAAGTTCTCCCACTTAAAAAGATGAGAGAGGCCTGTAATTTTCATCATAGGTACACGTCAACTATGACAGACAAAATGAGAAAAGAAATTCCAGAAAATCACATTGTAAGATTATTAATGAATTTATTTGCAAATTATGGTGGAAAATAAGTATTTGGTCAATAACAAAAGTTTCTCAATACTTTGTTATATACCCTTTGTTGGCAATGACACAGGTCAAATGTTTTCTGTAAGTCTTCACAAGGTTTTCACACGCTGTTGCTGGTATTTTGGCCCATTCCTCCATGCAGATCTCCTCTAGAGCAGTGATGTTTTGGGGCTGTCGCTGGGCAACACGGATTTTCAACTCCCTCCAAAGATTTTCTATGGGGTTGAGATCTGGAGACTGGCTAGGCCACTCCAGGACCTTGAAATGCTTCTTACGAAGCCACTCCTCCGTTGCCCGGGCGGTGTGTTTGGGATCATTGTCATGCTGAAAGACCCAGCCACGTTTCATCTTCAATGCCCTTGCTGATGGAAGGAGGTTTTCACTCAAAATCTCACGATACATGGCCCCATTCATTCTTTCCTTTTCACGGATCAGTCGTCCTGGTCCCTTTGCAGAAAAACAGCCCCAAAGCATGATGTTTCCACCCCCATGCTTCACAGTAGGTATGGTGTTCTTTGGATGCAACTCAGCATTCTTTGTCCTCCAAACACGACGAGTTGAGTTTTTACCAAAAAGTTTTATTTTGGTTTCATCTGACCATATGACATTCTCCCAATCCTCTTCTGGATCATCCAAATGCACTCTAGCAAACTTCAGACGGGTCTGGACATGTACTGGCTTAAGCAGGGGGACACAGCAGGATTTGAGTCCCTGGCGGCGTAGTGTGTTACTGATAGTAGTCTTTGTTACTTTGGTCCCAGCTCTCTGCAGGTCATTCACTAGGTCCCCCCGTGTGGTTCTGGGATTTTTGCTCACTGTTCTTGTGATCATTTTGACCCCACGGCGTGAGATCTTGCATGGAGCCCCAGATCGAGGGAGATTATCAGTATGTCTTCCATTTCCTAATAATTGCTCCCACAGTTGATTTCTTCAAACCAAGCTGCTTACCTATTGCAGATTCAGTCTTCCCAGCCTGGTGCAGGTCTACAATTTTGTTTCTGGTGTCCTTTGACAGCTCTTTGGTCTTGGCCATAGTGGAGTTTGGAGTGTGACTGTTTGAGGTTGTGGACAGGTGTCTTTTATACTGATAACAAGTTCAAACAGGTGCCATTAATACAGGTAACGAGTGGAGGACAGAGGAGCCTCTTAAAGAAGAAGTTACAGGTCTGTGAGAGCCAGAAATATTGCTTGTTTGTAGGTGACCAAATACTTATTTTCCACCATAATTTGCAAATAAATTCATTAAAAATCCTACAATGTGATTTTCTGGATTTTATTTTCTCAATTTGTCTGTCATAGTTGATGTGTACCTATGATGAAAATTACAGGCATCTCTCATCTTTTTAAGTGGGAGAACTTGCACAATTGGTGGCTGACTAAATACTTTTTTTCCCCACTGTATACACACACACGTAAACAAACCCATGGTAGAATGTTTCAGATGAATTGACTCTGACTGTGTGTTTGGTGGTGTTTATGTGCAGAGCTGTGCCGTTGCTAGGATACCTGCCTCAGGATCTGATTGGCACGTCGTTGCTGACCTGTATTCACCCGAAGGACCGCCCCATCATGCTCTCTATGCACCGCAAGGGTACGCCTTTATCACATCAACCAATCACAACAATTCACTACAGCAGCCAACTAATCACAACAGTCCAACTACCACAGCAACCTTGCATCCACATCCTCCATTTTACCAATCAACCAATTACAATTTTGCCAAGCAACTATACTGAACAAAAATATGAACGCAACATGCAACAATTTCAACGATTTTGCTGAGTTACAGTTCCTATAAGGAAATCAGTCAATTTAAGTAAATTCATGAGGCCCTAATCTATGGATTTTACATGACTGGGCAGGGGCGCAGCCATGGGTGGGCCTGGGAGGGCTTAGGCCCACCCACTTGGGAGCAAGGCCCACCCACTGGGGAGCAAGGCCCAGCTAATCAGAATGAGTTTTTCCCCACAAAAGGGCTTTATTACAGACAGAAATAATCCTCCGTTTCATCAGCTGTCCGGGTGGCTGGTCTCAGACGAACGCGCAGGTGAAGAAGCCGGATGTGGAGGTCCTGGGCTGGTGTGGTTACACGTGGTCTGCGGTTGATAGGCTGGTTGGACGTACTGCCAAATTCTCTAAAACGATGTTGGAGGCAGCTTATGGTAGAGAAATGAACAATCAATTCTCTGGCAACAGCTCTGGTGGACATTCCTGCAGTAAGCATGCCAATTGCACGCTCCCTCAAAACATGAAACATCATTGTGTTGTGTGAGTGTGGCCTTTTATTGTCCCAAGCACAAGGTGCACCTGTGTAATGATCATGCTGTTTAATCCGTTCTTTGATATGCCACACCTGTCAGGTGGATGAATTATCTTGGCAAATGAGAAATGCTCACTAAAAGGGATGTAAACGCATTTGTGCACAACATTTGAGAGAAATAAGCTTTTTGTGCAAAGGAACATTTCTGGGATCTTTTATTTCACTTCATGAAACATGGGACCAACACTTTACATGTTGCATTTATATTTTTGTTCAGTATAGTTACAATCTCTCTCTACCTCTATTTCTTGCTCCTTGACCCCCTCTCTCTCCTTCCCTCTCTCTGTGTAGTGTTGAAGTATGCGGGCCAGTCTCCATTTGAACACTCCCCAGTGCGTCTTCGTTGTCAAAACGGAGACTACGTCACCCTGGACACCAGCTGGTCCAGCTACATCAACCCCTGGAGCCGCAAGGTCACCTTCATCATCGGACGACACAAAGTCAGGACGTGAGTGTACCTCTCTCTCTCTCTCTCTCTCTCTCTCTCTTTCTCAATCTCTCTCTCTCTCTCAATCTCTCTCTCTCTGACCCTGTGTGTCTCTGTGTAGGGGCCCTCTGAATGAAGATGTGTTTGCTGCTCGGAGTAAAGAGGACCTGCCAATCATCCACGAAGAGATTAAAAACCTGCAGGCCAAGATCTACAAGCTCTTCCTGCAGGTAAGAATACACAAACACCATGGCCCCTACAGAATATTGCTACCAGTTTAATCCTGTCAGTCTGGAACATGTGTGTGTGTGTATAAATGTGTGTGTGTCTCTCGCTCTCTGTTCAGCCGGTCCATAATAATGGCTCCAGTGGTTATGGCAGTCTGGGCAGTAACGGTTCCCATGAGCACTACATCAGTGTGGCTTCCTCTAGCGACAGCAATGGCAACCTGTGGGAGGACTCACACCATGAATCGGTGAGACAATACAGCACCACTACAGCCTGTTACAATACTATTCCTGTTACCTAGCTACTAGTTTCTGCAGTTCTCGAACAATTCGTTATTTTTGAACAATTATTTTTACTGATTCGTGAGTCATCAATCATTTGACCTGCTGGCCTCAATGAGTCCTACAGCAGGATTGATACACTCTCCTCCGGCTCAGCGATTCCAGAGACGTGCTCCGACCAACAGCTGTCTGTCAAATATGCGCACAGGAAAATACACTGCTCAAAAAAATAAAGGGAACACTAAAATAACACATCCTAGATCTGAATGAATGAAATAATCTTATTAAATACTTTTTTCTTTACATAGTTGAATGTGCTGACAACAAAATCACACAAAAATTATCAATGGAAATCAAATTTATCAACCCATGGATGTCTGGATTTGGAGTCACCCTCAAAATTAAAGTGGAAAACCACACTACAGGCTGATCCAACTTTGATGTAATGTCCTTAAAACAAGTCAAAATGAGGCTCAGTAGTGTGTGTGGCCTCCACGTGCCTGTATGACCTCCCTACAATGCCTGGGCATGCTCCTGATGAGGTGGCGGATGGTCTCCTGAGGGATCTCCTCCCAGACCTGGACTAAAGCATCCGCCAACTCCTGGACAGTCTGTGGTGCAACGTGGCGTTGGTGGATGGAGCGAGACATGATGTCCCAGATGTGCTCAATTGGATTCAGGTCTGGGGAATGGGCGGGCCAGTCCATAGCATCAATGCCTTCCTCTTGCAGGAACTGCTGACACACTCCAGCCACATGAGGTCTAGCATTGTCTTGCATTAGAAGGAACCCAGGGCCAACCGCACCAGCATATGGTCTCACAAGGGGTCTGAGGATCTCATCTCGGTACCTAATGGCAGTCAGGCTACCTCTGGCGAGCACATGGAGGGCTGTGCGGCCCCCCAAAGAAATGCCACCCCACACCATGACTGACCCACCGCCAAACCGGTCATGCTGGAGGATGTTGCAGGCAGCAGAACGTTCTCCACGGCGTCTCCAGACTCTGTCACGTCTGTCACGTGCTCATTGTGAACCTGCTTTCATCTGTGAAGAGCACAGGGCGCCAGTGGCGAATTTGCCAATCTTGGTGTTCTCTGGCAAATGCCAAACGTCCTGCACGGTGTTGGGCTGTAAGCACAACCCCCACCTGTGGACGTCGGGCCCTCATACCACCCTCATGGAGTCTGTTTCTGACCGTTTGAGCAGACACATGCACATTGTGGCCTGCTGGAGGTCATTTTGCAGGGCTCTGGCAGTGCCTTCTCCTGCTCCTCCTTGCACAAAGGCGGAGGTAGCAGTCCTGCTGCTGGGTTGTTGCCCTCCTACGGCCTCCTCCACGTCTCCTGATGTACTGGCCTGTCTCCTGGTAGCGCCTCCATGCTCTGGACACTACGCTGACAGACACAGCAAACCTTCTTGCCACAGCTCGCATTGATGTGCCATCCTGGATGAGCTGCACTACCTGAGCCACTTGTGTGGGTTGTAGACTCTGTCTCATGCTACCACTAGAGTGAAAGCACCGCCAGCATTCAAAAGTGATCAAAACATCAGCCAGGAAGCATAGGAACTGAGAAGTGGTCTGTGGTCACCACCTGCAAAACCAGTGCTTTATTGGGGGTGTCTTGCTAATTGCCTATAATTTCCACCTGTTGTCTATTCCATTTGCACAACAGCATGTGAAATGTATTGTCAATCAGTTTTGCTTCCTAAGTGGACAGTTTGATTTCACATAAGTGTGATTGACTTGGAGTTACATTGTCTTCCCTTTATTTTTTGGCGCAGTGTAGATCATGCTGCAGGCAGCATAGAGAAGAAAAATACATGTTTAGAACTGATAATTGATCGCATGTTGCAAGAATGAATTTAATTAATTATTGAACGTTGTGATGGGTATGAGAGTAAAGGCCTACTCACAATAGTATTTGCAAACTGCAGCCTTCCAAACAGTTTGTGTTTGTTGAGCAGAGGCTGTGTATGTTTTGGTTCTACTCAACAAACTCGAGAACGAATCATTTGGAAGGGTACAGTTCGCAAACGATATTGTGCTTAGCCCATTACACTCATATACGGGTTGAAAATGGCAGATTTGGGCACTAATAAGCGAGTAGTGGCTGTACAGTAACATGCTATACATGACGTTAGAGCTTTGGCTCTGCGCTTCACAGCGCTGTATGGGTTTTGACTGACAGCTGTTCTGAACTTGAGCACCATGCGAGGACAAGAAGTTACCCTCATCCCTGGGCAACTTTTGCAAATGTTTTGTTTTCTGAGTGAGGGAGATACTGTAAATTAAGATGACTCTATGTATTTTTAAAGATGAGACGTTGAGGATTATAGTAAATACCGCTTTGATGTCATACAAGTAAGCCAAAATCATAAAATTGATGTAATTTACAGTGTCAATGTTTATGATCACTATGTTTGATTTACAGTTAGAAGATGACATGGCGTCATACCTTGGGTTGTTTTGAACAGAATGAGCCTATGTTTGTGTATTGTGAAGAAAATTTGCCCTGGCACACGCACCTGAATGCACTCATGACTCCTTTCTATACACATCAAAATTATTATCTGTTTCTCTGAGTCGCCTTGTGAAAGCCTAACACTGTAAGATCGTATTTTATGACTTAGCTAGTCATGTTGGCAATAGAACAAGCTTTCAAATCATGCCCACCTGACCCAGATTGCGATTTATAATTGACCGTTTTTGGATTGCGTAAACAACAACAGTAATTGTGTGAGGGCGGGGATGCAGAGTTGTGTTCCAAACTAAACAACTAGAAGTGTGCTTGCTTTAGTTCCTCAGCGGCACAGCTAGGAGAGCTAAAAAAGTATCTTATAGTTGAAGACTCTTCTTTAAGTCATAAAAGTGCATTGAAATTACTTAGGAGCTGTGCACACTTAGGAGAGGTGTGTGGCCACTTGGAGACACCAGTTAGTCCTCTCACTCAGACCCTTGTCATTTGTTTGTCTTATGTTGCATCTACCCCATATTTTCCAGGATTATTCTTATCATGTTAATGAATGTACCCAGAGTATTTTCAGATTTAGTTTTCAACAAATGCAGCGAGAAGTACAGTAAATGTAAAATACACATAAAGGCAACAGTCTTGTGTCAGGTGAACTGTTGTGTACTCACATTACCTCCAAACTGTTCCCTTTCAATACCTACAATGGTTATGCATATGCTTTTCATATTTCTTCTGTAAGTAACATTTAAATGTAGCCCTATCCATAGAGGCCAATTCCCACGAGTGTAAATGGTTAAATGCTTTTCACCCTCACGGCTGTCAAGCAATGCATTATGTCAAGAGTCGTTCACAATCTAGTCCGGTTGCGGCCACAACTAGACCTCGTTTAAAATGTATCAAGAAATAATCGTATTTGTATGCCTAAAAAATCAACAAATGTACATTGTTTAAAGCACACTTTTACAAGTCTCAGTCACAAATGGCAGGTTCAATAAGCCCTTTGTATGCCTATGGTGAACAACATAGGAACGAGAAGCTTGTAGAATCATGGCTCTTTCGAGTTTTCAATTCATCGTTCACCGGTAGGGGGTCCTGTGTGCTCTGGGCATTATTGACTCGCATGAACAAAATTAGTCGAAAGATTTGTTATTTTGACTGAACTAGTCGAAAAGATCTGAGTCAGTAACAAGCCGAACTTCCCGGCACTAGTTACTAGCTTCACTACAGTATAATGGCTAACTCTTTATGTGTGTGTGTGTGTGTATGTGTGTATGGCCATGCAGCATATCTGTGCTGATGTGAACAAGGTGAAGAGTTGGGGCCAGCAGGCATACTTGGAATCCAGCCACATACTCACCCCCTTTGGGAAATCTGCCACAGGTACGATAATGCTCAGACACTGATCCAACAGTTACCAATACTGGTCATGGGGAACCAAAGGCTGTGCAGGCTTTTGTACCAGCCCAGCACTAACACACCTCATTTAGCTAATCAATTAATCATCTAGCCGTTCAGTAGCTCAATTCTGGCTTACCTATGACCCCTTTGTGATGTCACACAGTGCCCCTCCTCCACGCCAGGGCTGAGGTCAGAGGGCACGAGGAGACCAGGAAGCAAGCGCACATTCCGTCCTATCAGCAGATCAACTCTGTGGACAGCATCATCAGGTGGGTGGATCCTCTGACTGAATGCAGAGCGTGACGATGTCACTGTGATGGTACATGTATTTTGATCTGCAATCAATGTTTCATTGAGGATCCGAATAAAGTGTGTGTTTTTGTAGGTATCTGGAGGGCTGTGGTCCAGTCCTGAAGCGTAAGAGCAAGTCTCGCTCCATCGGCACATCTTCCTCCTCCTCCTCCTCCTCTACCTCAGAGGATGACAAACCCACCACAGACCCACACACTGCCCAGGCCAGCTCCAACGGTGAGTTACACACACACAGCTCAGACCATCTCTGATGGAAATATACACAGTACCAGTCAAAAGTTTGGACACACCTACTCATTCAAGGGTTTTTCTTTATTTGTACTATTTATTACATTGTAGAATAATAGTGAAGACATCAAAACTATGAAATAACACATATGGAATCATGTAGTAAACAAAAAAGTGTTAAACAAATCAAAATATATTTTATATTTGAGAATCTTCAAATAGCCACCCTTTGCCTTGATGACAGCTTTGCACACTCTTGGCATTCTCTCAACCAGCTTCACTTGGAATGCTATTCCAACAGTCTTGAAGGAGTTCCCACATATGCTGAGCACTTGTTGGCTGCTTTTCCTTCACTCTGCGATCCGACTCATCCCAAACCATCTCAATTGGGTTGAGGATGGGGGATTGTGGAGGCCAGGTCATCTGATGCTGCACTCCATCACTCTCCTTCTTGATAAAATAGCCCTTACACAGCCTGGAGGTGTGTTGGGTCATTGTCCTGTTGAAAAACAAATGATAGTCCCACTAAGCCCAAACCAGATGGGATGGCGTATCGCTGTAGAATGCTGTGGTAACCATGCTGGTTAAGTGTGCCTTGAATTCTAAATAAATCACAGACAGTGTCACCAGTAAAGCACCCCCACACCATAACACCTCCTCCTCCATGCTTTACAGTGGGAAATACACATACGGAGATCATCCGTTCACCCACACCGCGTCTCACAAAGACACGGCGGTTGGAATCAAAAATCTCTAATTTGGACTCCAGACCAAAGGACACATTTCCACCGGTCTAATGTCCATTGCTCGTGTTTCTTGGCCCAAGCAGGTCTCTTCTGTTTATTGGTGTCCTTTAGTAGTGGTTTCTTTGCAGCAATTCGACCATGAAGGCCTGATTCACACAGTCCCCTCTGAACAGTTGATGTTGAGGTGTCTGTGACTTGAACTCTGTGAAGCATTTATTTGGGCTGCAATTTCTGAGGCTGGTAACTCTAATGAACTTATCCTATGCAGCAGAGTTAACTCTGGGTCTTCCAATCCTGTCGCGTTCCTCATGAGAGTCAGTTTCATCATAGCGCTTGATGTTTTTTTTTTCAAGCTGCCAGTTGAGGACCTGTGAGGCGTCTGTTTCTCAAACTAGACACTCTAATGTATTTGTTTTCTTGCTCAGTTGTGCACTGGGGCCTCCCACTCCTCTTTCTTTTCTGGTTTGAGACAGTTTGCGCTGTTCTGTGAAGGGAGTAGTACACATCGTTGTATGAGATCTTCAGTTTCTTGGCAATTTCTCGCATGGAATAGCCTTCATTTCTCAGAACAAGAATAGACTGACGAGTTTTAGAAGAAAGTTATTTGTTTCGAACCCACAATTGCTGATGCTCCAGATACTGAACTTGTCTCAAGAAGGCCAGTTTTATTGCTTCTTTCATCAGCACAACAGGTTTTCAGCGGTGCTAACATAATTGCAAAAGGGTTTTCTAATGATCAATTAGCCTTTTAAAATGATAAACTTGGATTAGCAAACACAACGTGCCATTGGAACACAGGACTGATGGTTGCTGATAATGGGCCTCTGTACGCCTATGTACAGTGGGGGAAAAAAGTATTTAGTCAGCCACCAATTGTGCAAGTTCTCCCACTTAAAAAGATGAGAGAGGCCTGTAATTTTCATCATAGGTACACGTCAACTATGACAGACAAAATGAGGCAAAACAATCCAGAAAATCACATTGTAGGATTTTTAATGAATTTATTTGCAAATTATGGTGGAAAATAAGTATTTGGTCACCTACAAACAAGCAAGATTTCTGGCTCTCACAGACCTGTAACTTCTTCTTTAAGAGGCTCCTCTGTCCTCCACTCGTTACCTGTATTAATGGCACCTGTTTGAACTTGTTATCAGTATAAAAGACACCTGTCCACAACCTCAAACAGTCACACTCCAAACTCCACTATGGCCTGAGAACTTGTTCTCAACTGGCTTACCTGGTTAAATAAAGGTGAAATAAAAATAAATAAAAAAAGACCAAAGAGCTGTCAAAGGACACCAGAAACAAAATTGTAGACCTGCACCAGGCTGGGAAGACTGAATCTGCAATAGGTAAGCAGTTTGGTTTGAAGAAATCAACTGTGGGAGCAATTATTAGGAAATGGAAGACATAAAAGACCACTGATAATCTCCCTCGATCTGGGGCTCCACGCAAGATCTCACCCGTGGGGTCAAAATGATCACAAGAACGGTGAGCAAAAATCCCAGAACCACACGGGGGGACCTAGTGAATGACCTGCAGAGAGCTGGGACCAAAGTAACAAAGCCTACCATCAGTAACACACTACGCCGCCAGGGACTCAAATCCTGCAGTGCCAGACGTGTCCCCCTGCTTAAGTCAGTACATGTACAGGCCCGTCTGAAGTTTGCTAGAGTGCATTTGGATGATCCAGAAGAGGATTGGGAGAATGTCATATGGTCAGATGAAACCAAAATATAACTTTTTGGTAAAAACTCAACTCCTCGTGTTTGGAGGACAAAGAATGCTGAGTTGCATCCAAAGAACACCATACCTACTGTGAAGCATGGGGGTGGAAACATCATGCTTTGGGGCTATTTTTTTGCAAAGGGATCAGGACGACTGATCCGTGTAAAGGAAAGAATGAATGGGGCCGTGAGAATGTATCGTGAGATTTTGAGTGAAAACCTCCTTCCATCAATCAGCAAGGGCATTGAAGATGAAACGTGGCTGGGTCTTTCTGCATGACAATGATCCCAAACACACTGCCCGGGCAACGAAGGAGAAGCATTCGTAAGAAGCATTTCAAGGTCCTGGAGTGGCCTAGCCAGTCTCCAGATCTCAACCCCATAGAAAATCTTTGGAGGGAGTTGAAAGTCCGTATTGCCCAGCGACAGCCCCAAAACATCACTGCTCTAGAGGAGATCTGCATGGAGGAATGGGCCAAAATACCAGCAACAGTGTGTGAAGACTTACAGAAAACGTTTGACCTGTGTCATTGCCAACAAAGGGTATATAACAAAGTATTGAGAAACTTTTGTGATTGACCAAATACTTATTTTCCACCATAATTTGCAAATAAATTCATTAAAAATCCTACAATGTGATTTTCTGGAGAAAAAAAATCTCATTTTGTCTGTCATAGTTGACGTGTACCTATGATGAAAATTACAGGCCTCTCTCATCTTTTTAAGTGAGAGAACTTGCACAATTGGTGGCTGACTAAATACTTTTTTTCCCCACTGTAGATATTCAATTAAAAACAAGGACATTTCTAAGTGACCCCAAACTTTTGAACGGTAGTGTGTGTGTGTGTGTGTGTGTGTGTGTGTGTGTGTGTGTGTGTGTGTGTATATATATATATATATACACACACACACACACACACACACACACACACAGCTTTCTGATGTTTGTTCTGTCTGTCTCTGTCTGTCTGTGTAGTTGTGGTGCTGGACAATCAGGTGTCAGTGGGCTCTACAGCAGCAGTGGTGGTGGGAGCTCCTCTCACAGACATCACTCTGTCTACAAAGGCTATGAGTGTAGTGTCAGTCACCAGCCAGTGTTCCTACAGCAGCACTATAGTACACGTTCCCCAGCCAGAGTCAGGTACGGACACACCATCATAATATACCCTTTTATTTGTAATGACCTGAAAAATTAAATAAAAAGTTATCTTCTTTATGCCCGCCCTCCAGTGGTGACAGCCTTAGAGGATGCACCAATGGGCAGCGAGCCTGCTGACCCCACTCCTGCTCGCGCGGCCCCTAGACCCACCCTTAGCTCTTCTGCCAAGGAGCTGCAATTGGTGGGTCTGACCAAGGAGGTCCTTTCAGCTCACACTCAGAAGGAGGAGCAGGAGTATGTGGATCGCTTCCGCCATCGCATCCTCCACAGTCCCTACAGCTCCTATCTACAGCAAGACAACAGCTCCGGGGTTCATTCTCACCACCCAGGTCAGTGTGTGTGTAGGGGACTGTTATCACACATGCTTTGGAGCAGGGTGACTTGTGTCGCCATCAAGCTGGAGGCCTGTGGCATTGCTTTGTTAGGACTATAAGGTTTTCTTACAGATAGATGTGCTGTATTTGTGATTACTGTTCTTTCTCCTCCCTCCCTTCAGGTGACTACGTGATACAGCCAGTGAGTGCAGCTGGGTTGAACCGCACTCGGACAGGGAAGCCTAATAAACACAAGCGTCCCAAACCCCAAACTTTGTCTGACAGCTACGCCTCCCCACCCGAGCCCCCTCGCCGAGCCCCTCTTGCCCTTCTCGCCCCCTACTCCTCCTGGCCCTCCTCCGAATCCTCTAACCCCCTTCCCCAGCTGGGGCTGCCCTACCCTCCTATATCCCCTCCACAAGCCCCCATGGGTCACCTCCAGACCCCCTACTTCATCATGCTGGGAGGCCAGCCAGGGGTGGACCAAGGGGGAAAACAGCAGCAGGCATGCGTGGGCCCCATGGTGCTTCAACCAGACCAGAACCCAAACTCAATCCCACAGAACTTTCAGCACAACCTACAACAGAACATTCAGCAGAACCTTCCGCAGAACTTTCAGTTTATGCAGCCCATTCAGAACATGCAGACCCAGTCTATGCAGTCTGTCCAGATGCAGTCCATCCAGTCCAACTTTCCCAGCCAGAACTTTCAGTCCATTCAGATACAGAACATTCAGGGCTTCCCCAACATGCAGCCCATGGCCCCATCCCAGGGTTTGAACCCTTACATGGCCCCAATGATGGCTGTGATTCTAGCCAACTACCCCTTTTACCCTTCAGGCTACTCTACCAACTACCCTTCCTACCCTCCAGGCTACCCCACCACATCCTCTCTGCTGCCCCAGGCCCCCTTCACCATGTCAGGCTTCGGCCCTGGTCTAGGCCCCTTAGCCCAGCCTCAGCCTAGTTCCCAGCCCCAGACGCCCCCAGGCCAGCTACACTGCTCCCCCAGACCAAGCTCCTCAGTGGGGGAGGAGGCGGCGACTGGGCCCCCGGCTCTGTTCTCCAGCTCTCGCTCCAGTTCCCCACTGCAACTCAACCTGCTGCAGGAGGAGCTGCCCAAACCCAGCGAGGATCAGAGCAGCACTGGACACACACACGCCCATGCCGAGAGCCTGCACGAAGCGCAAACCAAGGGGGTGAGTCAACTCTGACCTCTCACCTTTTACCCTGTGTGTTTCTCACTTCGAGACTTGGCTCTCCCTGTCTCCTTTCCTTTTCCTCTTAGCTGCTGATCTGACAATCCAGCAGAAGGTGAAAGCAGTGGAAAGTTAAAAACCTTAATTTCACCAATCAGTGGTCATGAAGGAGAGACCAGGCTTCATCTTTTTTTTCCAGATTTAACATTCAATGGAACACTTACATAACAATAGGTGGTAACACAACTATTCATGCCCCTCTCCCTCATCAGATTGATGCACCCTGTGAGTCGGGTAACCATGACGCCCAGTCTACATCCAGTGAGCTGTTGGACCTGCTGTTGCAGGAAGATGCCAGGTCAGGTACTGGCTCTAACGCCTCTGGGTCCGGCTTTGGAGAGCCTGGCTCTCTAGGCTCTGGCTCCAATGGAACATCCACCTCACACACAGGTACGCATAGACACACACACACAAATACACACAGGTACAGCACAAACACACACACACATCCCCTTAGAGTGCTGATGCCCAGTGTTCTCTCACCATGCCCCAGGAAGCAGTAACAGCAGTAAGTACTTTGCCAGTAGCAACTCGTCAGACACGTCTCGCAAAGCCTGTAAGAACCAAGAGACCCAGCAGGATCACGCACAACACACACAACACGCCTTCAACATGCGTGCCGAGAACTCCCTGTGGCGCATGATCCAGCACATGCCAGAACCTGTGATGATGACCTACCAAATCCACCCCAGGTAACACAACTCAAACACTCTAGAATCCAATGCTAGAACCCAAACTCTACTCTATAGAACCCTGCACTAGAATGTAACACTAGAACCTAATATTAGTACCCTGCTCTAGACCGTAACGCTAGAACCTATTATTAGTGTCCTGCTCTAGAATGGAACACTAGAACCTATTATTAGAGCCGTGCTCTAGAATGGAACACTAGAACCTATTATTAGAGCCCTGCTCTAGAGTGGAACACTAGAACTTAATATTAGAACATGCTCTAGAACCCAGACAGCCGGTATGCCTACCCTCCTAGCGTACTGACATGCTGGTTACCCTGCAGGGACCAGGCAGAGGTGCTGGCTGAGGACAAGGAGAAGCTACATCTGCTGCGGCCTCTACAGCCCTGGTTCACCCAGGAACAGAGAGAGGAGCTGGCTGAAGTCCACCCCTGGATCCAACAACACACCGTCCCTCAGATGTTAGACACACAGGTAGGGAGGTCTCACACACACACCACACACATATACACACACAAAGACATATAGATTTACACACACACTGCAAAAAGGTGCATGCTAACTCTCTCTCTCTCTCTCTCTCTCTGTGTCTCTCTCTCTCTCTGTGTCTCTCTGTCTCTCTCTCTCTCTCTCTCTCTCTCTCTCTGTGTCTCTCTCTCTCTCTCTCTCTCCCCTCTCTCTCGTTCTCTCTCTCTCTGTCTCTCTCTCTCTCTCTCTCTCTCTCTCTCTCTCTCTCTCTCTCTCTCCTCTCTCTCTCTCTGTGTCTCTCTCTCTCTCCTCTCTGTGTCTCTCTCTCTCTCTCTCTCTCTCTCTCTGTGTCTCTCTCTCTCTCTCTCTCTCTCTCCTCTCTCTCTCTCTCTTGTGCCTCTCTCCTCTCTCTCTCTCTCTCTCTCTCTCTGTGTCTCTCTCTCCTCTCTCTCTCTCTCTCTCTCTCTCTCTCTCTCTCTCTCTCTCTCTCTCTCTCTCTGTCTCTCTCTCTGTGTGTCTTTCAGGGCTGTGTGAACTGTAGTGCAGGAACAGAGATTCACCCCCAGGATCCAGAGAGCTCCTCCCCTTTGGAAGGCCCTCAGCATGATTCTAGTCCTGCCCCTGACACCTGATACGCCCCCATCTAGGAAACGCAAACCTGCCGCGCCGGGACCCTTAACTCCGCCCACAAGATATCTACTGACCAATTACTAGGAGCTCAGAGAGGCTGTATCTCAGTGCCCTAGAACAGTGTTTCCCAAACAGTTTTTGGTTTTTGCCCTAGCACTACACAGCTGATTCAAATAATAAACTAATCATCAAGCTTTGATTATTTGAATCAGCTGTGTAGTGCTAGGGTAAAAACCAAAACCCAGGGTTGCCAGGTCTAGCAAAAATGTCTAGCCCAATGACCTATCAAAACCACCCACAAGGCCTGAAAACTAGCCCAAATATTTTTGGGGACAGCAAGAGAGGAGTGGCAACATTTATCCAATAAACCCTTTTCCCATAACGTTATCAAGCGAATTAAGAAGGAATATCGACGTAATTTCTAACTATGTAGGCTAAGAAGCAAAATGCGGTTTTCCATCAAAATAATAATTCTGCCGAGTTTAAGAATATATCGCAAGAGAAATTATCATTTGCCCTTATTAAACTCGACAGATCATTTTCCATCAATGGATGTCGATTTAACTTGTTTTGACTGCTATGATTAAGCAATAAGGCCTGAGGAGGTGTGGCATTTGGCCAACATACCACAGCTAAGGGCTGTTCTTAGGACACATCCCTTAGCCGTGGTATATTGGACATATACCACAAACCCCTGAGGTGCCTTATTGCTATTATAAACTGGTTACCAACTTAATTAGAACCGTAAAAAGTAATTGTCATACCTGTGGTACACTGTCTGATATACCACGATTTTCAACCAATCAGCTTTCAGGGCTCAAACCACCCAGTTTATAATTGTAAATAAATCCTGTTTGCGCATGTACATAACTATAGATAAATCCGACAGGAGAGTTTGAGTGATGAAAGTTGGACAGAGGATCTTGAAATCTCTGTGCAAGAAACACTTAGGTGAACTTTGAAAAAAATGAATGTTAGGCGGACATGGCAACCCTGCGTACACCCCTTGGGGTCCCCAGGACTGAGTTTGGGAAAGGCTGCCCTAGAACCTTCAGACACAGATAAACACACATACACAGATCTGAACAGCTGCGTCAGAGGCTGTATTGGGCCGGAGGGCGCAGAGGAAAGGAGCATTCTGATTGGCTCTTTCTGGCAGGCGAGAGATGGGTATTGTTATTGGCTGGTTGCTCAGCCACATGTGATCCAATTGGGGTCCAGAGATTCAGTCACGTCTGTCAGATTTTGTTGGATTCCAATGGATGACTTGTACTCTCGCTCTCTGTCCCTCCCTCTCTCTAACTATAGACCCTGTGTATATTAATTTGTGTTGTGTGTGAGTCTATTCTTCAGGCTCTTTAATCCCTGGATGGCCTGACACCACTGGGAGATATCAAGAACACAGACTGAAATCTACTCATGTTATGGACACACACACTCGGGGTGATACTGGCAGAGTGATTGTATGGACAGTTACAGCACTAAGCCGACTCCCACTCCAAATGAACTCGATGCATTTTTGTCTAGCGAGCAAATGGATCTCACAAGCAGAAGGGCCTTATGTAGTGTAGAAGTGACATGTGTATGGACACACACTGTGAGATACGGGGTAATGTTACGGACACAGAAACCCTCAGTATGATACAGACAGTGACGGGGTGTTGGACTGCAGTACAGTCTGGGCTGTTCCCTGGATCCATGGACCAGCAGCAGGGACACCAGAATGAACAGTTGCCATGATGTTGCATTACGGTTGACATTCCACCACTTCTGCTCCTTTCAATTTCTAACTTTGAGATTGTTGTTTATTGTTTGTCTACGATTCCAAAGGCTCCACCCAAGACACAGACTCTTTCCCCCAACCAACCTTATCCCTTATACCCTGGGCTTTCTACCAATAGGAACCACTAGAATGTGATCTTCAATCCAATGACAAGCACTTAAATCCATTGATAACTGTAATTTAACCCTATCCTTCCCCTAGTACTCCTTGTCCTAACCTTAACAAGCTGCAACCCCAGCCAGGTTCACTTATTGAATGAAATGTTATAAAGGCTTGATGTTAGCGTCTTGTGTATGTTTGCGTGTGTGTGTTCTCTATGTGCTCATGTCCATAAGCGTCCTGTTGTTTGTCAGATATATCTGGATGATGTCATCCAGGTTTTGTACTGTTTTTAGTACAAAAAAAGGTATATTACAGCACAATGTATTTTAGAAAATAAACTGTATACAAAACAATGTTCACTGTGTAAAACAGCCATTTGTCTTGAATTCAGTGAGTTTTTGAAATGACTACATAAAAAAGACAAAACAATGACTTCACTTTCTGTGCTTTTTTTTAGGTAACCTTTCCTAGCTAATCTTCCTTCAAAGGTAGCTTTTCCTCAGTCTCTAGAGTAGTCCCACAGTCTCTCTAGATCTCTATCTGGTCGTCTATCAACACACAACTACACATACACAATCCTGACACTGAGTTCTCGAGATTTGTCACTGAGGCACAATCAACACAAACAAGCTGATCTCCAAACATACTGTTTTATTCATTATTGTACATACAACACTACACATGTGTATTACTCATATTCACTATTTCACTATGTACTCCTGAGCTGTGCCTGAAAACAGAGGAATGTGCAAAAACAAAATAAATACATACTATGTATCGTGTGTGTGTCACTCCTAGACACAGTACTTCCAGAAGCACTCTGTGGTGGTTCTCTTTCTGTACTCTCTCCTGCTGCCCAGGAAACGCGTTAGAGGGCTCAGAGCTGGCGTTTCCAACAGCACCTGAGAGAGAGCGCGAGAGAAAGAAATGAAGGAGTAGAGAGAGTAAGTGAGAAGAACAAGAGTTGATATGAGGAGAGCTTTGATACTTTGCTGAATGCATAGTATGTGAAAGGTGACTGTGTTCAATGAGATTGCTAGGTTGTTTTGGATGGACTGAGCACTCACATCTCTCACGTCCTGGTTTGGGCTGAACACTGCTGATCTTAGATCTGTACAGAGACGAGCGGAACAAAGACCTGGTTAGGTATACGTTTACCATTCTCTGTCTGTCTGTCTCTCTCTCTCTCTCTCTCTCTCTCTCTCTCTCTCTCTCTCTCTCTCTCTCTCTCTCTCTCTCTCTCTCTCACATACAGACACACACTCACACATTTAGAGCAGCGCATGAGACCCACCCTCACATCGTACTGCTCACATCGTACGCTCACACAATGCTGACACACCATAGACCCGCTCTCTCTTTTGATGTACAAACTGACACACAAACACACTCGATGTCACTCACCGCCAAGGCCAGGTGCACTGTGGAATCTGTATGCGTTGTCAGAAAGGGACGACTCCTCTGGACGCACCACCTGGCCCTCCTCTACTGACGCTATAAACATGACATAACGTGACTTAACATGACATATGTACAACATAATATAACGTGTGTGTGTGTGCTTGTATGTTTGTGTCACTCACCTGTTCCGGTGTAGGACATCTCTTTAGAGTGTGAGACGGGGTGTGTGAGGAGGGGTCCGGCGGCGGTAAGCAGCAGAATACACGAGAGGAGACGCTTACATTGCATGTCTGTACTGGACCGTCTGTACTGCCTCCAAACTGTCTGTACTGTCCTACAGGTGCTGCACTCCTGTCTGTCTGCCCGTAGTTGTTTCCCAGCCGTCTGTACTGCAACACAGTGTCTGTAGCTATATTTGTCTGTTGTTGTGTTTGAAGCTGGTGGCAACGCTGTGTCAGAACCAGCTGTAGAGGATACCGTTTCTGTGCTACGTAGATACTTTTTCTTCTTTCTCTCTCTCTCTTTCTCTGTGGATCCCTGCAGGTCTCAATCAGGTACTCTCTGCTCTGGATCCACACCCTGCCTTATATACCTCCCTCGTTCCCTCTCTCCTATCTTCTCTCAATTAGTCTCTCCACTCTTTCCGCCCTGAGTTGTAAATATTGCCCCGTGCTGACAGGGAGGCCCAATAAACCAACCTCTCTCCCTTTCATCTCTATCGTTCTTTTTCACTGTCTCCCTCTCTCCTTCCCTCTTTTGGCATAGCGTGCATCAGGGGTGACACATTTAACAACCTTGTCCTGATGCCACCCTAATAAATCTGCACAGCGCAGGTGTCAGTGTATGTGTTGGTGTGAGTGTCCATCGGGGATGGCCACTGCTGATTCACGCCCCTGAATTCACTTCCCCATTCACACAAACATGTTTGTTTTACAATCCTTGTGGGGACCAAACAATTGATTCCCATTCAAAATCCTATTTTCCCTAACCCTAACCCTTAACCTAACCCCAAACCCTAATTCTAACCCTAATCCTAATTGTAACCCTAAACCTAACCCGTAAACCTAAAATAACCTTTTTCCTTGTGGGGACAGGCGAAATGTCCCCACTTGTCTGAATTTTCCTTGTTTTACTATCCTTGGTCCCCACAAGGATAGCTAAACCAAAACACACACACACAGCCTGTTCCAGGCCTCTCTCCCTCTCAACCTAAGTCCCCAGAACCAGGATTAAGACTTCCTGATCTATACCCTAGTCATGTGCTTGTGCATTAGCCTGTTCTTTTGCCACCTCTCACTGTTCCGCTAACTCTCATTCCATTTCCCTCTTTCTCTTTGCCCCCTCTCTCTCTCTCTCTCTCTCTCTCTCTCTCTCTTTGTCACCTCAGAGGCTTCAGTAAATCATGTGTGTGATTCACAGCTCAGACCATCTCCACTCTGCAGAGCACTTCCACGCCACGTCTCCTGTAAACTCTAATTGATGTGTGTTTGTGTGCGTGTGTGTATATACATTTATACATCGCATGCCACCGGCAGGGCTGTATCTCTAGTAAATGGGTTGCGGTTTAAAGGCAGAATATCTCACCTTGTTAGACAGAAACACTGTCACTTCATTGGCCATGGAACCCAGAGTGCATCACCGACTGCTACAGCAGCTATAAAGGGGAGTCATTCATACAACTATCTGCCATGGTAAATTTACACTCAGTTTCTCTCAATGCAAAGCATTCAGTTAAACACTGAAGGGAATTCTGAATAAAGAACATTATTTTTCTCCTGTATCTTGTTAATATTGTGATAGGTGTGCTATGTGCACCAATCCAATCTGTATGAATCTTAAAACTGGTTTGATGTTTTATGAATGTGCCTCTCCACAGCTGTAATGCATGTGGTTTCATTTGCACTACAGTGCCAGTTGAGTGTTTTTTTCAGGCATACTTTGTTTGTAAAATTCATGAACAAGTGTATTTACATCAAACAAACATGGAGAGCAAAGAATAATGTGAGCATCTTCACATAAAATGCCTCTGTTGCAATAAGACAGAAGGAAAGTTGACAGAGGAAAGTCTAGTAAGAAAGTAGAGTTGAGTAGAGTAGATCTTTATTGTCCCAATAAGCTATTTGTTTTGCAGACAAGGAGACGTGATACAGGAAAGTGTAAAAACTGAACGGATGTAAGGGATTCAGTCCATTAACGATACAATAGTAACATAAAGCATCAGAGTACACAAATAAAAACAGTTCATAATGTGCAATGCAATGGCTTATTTATTAGAAAATTACACATGTATCATTTTATTTAACCTTTGTTTAGCCAGGTAAGTCATTGAAAACTAGTTATATTTTACACTGACGACCTAGTCAGTCAAAAGGTGACCATACAATACGTCAATAGTCACGTGACGGCAGTATGATCCCTCACAATAGGTTTTTAACCACAATTACTGTATATACTGTAGTTGCAAATGTGAAGCAGAGTAGGATGAAGTTGCCCCAAGACACTGATCTATGGTCAGTTTTGCATTGTTCCCTCTTAATGGTTAAGGTTGGGATTGTAGGTTGATCCTAGGTCTGTGTCCTAATGATAACTTCTATCCGTAGCGTATAATGCTGCCTGAAGAAGTCATGGCCTTCACTCCCCTCCAGAGGGTTCAGTGGTGCTGAGAGACACAGGTACTTGCCTCATAGGGACTGGAGGTAGCCTAACCATCTAACCTAACTTGGGAAAAACTCTGGGCCTCGGCAACCTTGTAATTTAAACCCTGTGCATCTTTGTAAATAAATACCTTACCATAACGTCAAATTCACACAAGCAATTACATAATTGTAACAATATGAAAGTAATAGTACTGCTGTTTAACTGCTTAAAGGCACTCACATACTAGGTTCGCTTTGCTCCTAGCAGAACTCGGCTAGGCGAAGCGAACCTCTGTGCCTCACATACTCCCTTAAAAGATGTTCGCTTGAAAAACAAGAAAAAAAGCATGAGACGCCGTAGCAACAACATAGCCAGTATACAAATAGTCCGAATTAATCTAAGATAAATCAAGAAATCTGTAATAAATTGACGTTTTGGCCGAGGAGGTCTTAGTTGCAAAATTTTACTTCTAACTAAGATGTTTGGTGCAGTATTTCTCAAGTGAAAAAATTTGCATGAAAACTAGTTGTCTCTCGTTGAATGACAACAAACACTTCATTGAAGAATCCCTTCCATAGTTCCCACTCCTACTAGGAGTAGTACAGTTGAACAATCACTGACAAAAAGGGTGTAGACTTCGGCTACCGAACTTCGACTTGCCTCAAGAAAATGTTTTGTGTGTATGAACAAAAACGTCACAATATTTTGTCATAATATATGCGCAAACTGTTTCGACTAGGAAGCATACGGTAAGCTTTACAATCACATTGTGGTTATCAGATGTGAGTGAAGGGTCTGACTGTGTTATGGGTCCTGGGTGAGAGGCTGGAGGTGGAATGTAGAGGTGGGACTAGTGGAGTAGAGTGGACATCCCTACAGCACACCAGCAGCAGAGGGCCTAGGGGTTGGTTTGGAATGCAGCCTGTGTCTGTAGTGTCTGCCTCTGGACCAGCCAGCGGCAAGCTGACTCCTCTCATTTCCAATACACCTTCTCCATCTCTGAAAGAGAGAGAGCGAGATTATTGTAATGAAGTTTGCATATATAATAATAATAATTATAATAATTATAATAATTATAATAATTATAATAATAAATACATAAATAAATATACACTGGTCAAAAGTTTTAGAACACCTTCAAGGGTTTTTCTTTATTTGTACTATTTTCTACATTGTAGAATAATAGTGAAGACATCAAAATTATGAAATAACACATAAGGAATCATGTAGTAAACAAAAAAAGTGTTAAACAAATCAAAATATATTTTATATTTGAGATTCTTCAAATAGCCACCCTTTGCCTTGATGACAGCTTTGCCCACTCTTGGCATTCTCTCAACCAGCTTCACCTGGAATGCTTTTCCAACAGTCTTGAAGGAGTTCCCACGTATGCTGAGCACTTGTTGGCTGCTTTTCCTTCACTCTGTGGTCCGACTCATCTCAAACCCTCTCAATTGGGTTGAGGTCAGGGGATGGTGGAGGCCAAGTCATCTGATGCAGCACTCCATCACTCTCCTTCTTGGTAAAATAGCCCTTACACAGCCTGGAGGTGTGTTGGGTCATTGTCCTGTTGAAAAACAAATGATAGTCCCTTCTAAGCCCAAACCAGATGGGATGGCGTATCGCTGCAGAATGCGGTGGTAGCCATGCTGGTTAAATGTGCCTTGAATTCTAAATAAATCACAGACAGTGTCACCAGCAAAGCACCCCCACACCATAACACCTCCTCCTCCATGCTTTACGATGGGAAATACACATGCGGATATCATCCGTTCACCCACACCGCGTCTCAAAGACACGGCGGTTGGAACCCAACATTTCCACATTTCCACCGGTCTAATGTCCATTGCTCGTGTTTCTTGGCCCAAGCAAGTCTCTTCTTCTTATTGGTGTCCTTTATTAGTGGTTTCTTTGCAGCATTTCGACCATGAAGGCCTGATTCACACAGTCCCCTCTGAACAGTTGATGTTGAGATATGTCTGTTACTTGAACTCCGTGAAGCATTTATTTGCGCTGCAATTTCTGAGGCTGGTAATGAACTTATCCTCTGCAGCAGAGGTAACTCTGGGTCTTCCATTCCTGTGGCGGTCCTCATGAGAGCCAGTTTCATCATAGCGCTTGATGGTTTTTGCGACTGCACTTGAAGAAACTTTCAAAGTTCTTGAAACGCTCCAGATTGACTGACCTTCATGTCTTAAAGTAATGATGGACTGTCGTTTCTCTTTGCTTATTTGACCGGTTCTTGCCATAATATGGACTTGGTTTTTTACCAAATAGGGCTATGTTCTGTATACCCTCCCTACCTTGTCACAACAGAACTGATTGGCTCAAATGCATTAAGAAGGAAAGAAATTCCACAAATTAACTTTTAACAAGGCACACCTGTTAATTGAATTGCATTCCAGGTGACTACCTCATGATGCTGGTTGAGAGAATGCCTAGAGTGTGCAAAGCTGTCATCAAGGCAAAGGGTGGCTATTTGAAGAATCTCAAATATAAAATATATTTTGATTTGTTTAACACTTTTTTGGTTACTACATGATTCCATGTGTTATTTCATAGTTTTGATGTCTTCACTATTATTCTACAATGTAGAAAATAGTAAAAAAATAAAGAAAAACCCTTGAATGAGTAGGTGTTCTAAAACTTTTGACCGGTAGTGTATTTATTAAATTTGTAAAAGTACATTTAATGTAATGTTTTGTACAGAGTGTACAAAACATTAAGAACACCTGCTCTTTCCATGACAGACTGACCAGGTGAATCCAGGTGAAAGCTATGATCCCTTATTGATGTCACTTGTTAAATCCACTTCAAATTTGTTTAGATGTAGAGGAGGAGACGGGTTAAATAAGGATTTTTAAGCCTTGAGACAATTGAGACATGGATTGTGTGCCATTCAGAGGGTGAATGGGCAAGACAAAATATTTAAGTGCCTTTGAACAGGGTATGGCAGTAGGTGCCAGGCACACCGGTTTGTGTCAAGAACTGCAACGCTGCTGGTTTTTTCACGCTCAAAAGTTTCTGGTGTGTATCAAGTCACTGACAGCCACTCAATTAGCCATGTCAGCTAACAAAACATTTTTTATTGGTAAGTTAGTCTAACCAGTAATCTAAACTTGTAGTAATCATGGCCGAATACCGAGCGGGCACGCAGGGCACATGCCCAGGGGCCCTGACCTCCAGGGGGCCCCCATTGATCTTGTTAGTCACACTCAGTCAGATGTCATGAACATGGCATAAGTCATGGAAAAATGTATAGAATTGCAGGAAATTAGCTTTCAAACTGCAAAAATAATTATCTGCCCCATGGCAAAATGTGTAGAATTGCACAGAATGTGTTAAAAAAAATTGTTTTTTTGTTTTTTTTAAATAAAAAAGTCTAGAGCCGGCCCTGCATACTTCATATGGATGAGAGACTTGGAGGGTTTAAGTGTGTGTGTGTGTGCATGTGTGTTACCCTTGTCCAGGTCGATGACTTTGGGCAGGGTGGACATCGGAACCTTCTCCCTCAGCAGGTTGTTTTTGTAGTCTGAGAGACAGGAGAGAGTGGAGTGAATATATATATACACACACACACACACACACACACACGCAGGCAGGCACACACACACACACCTAGTTTCTTCTCCTCCTGGTTGCACGTCTTGACTTCAGGAACATCCATCTCAAACTCATTGGTGGCCATATCACCCCTGTTTGACCTATCACAGAGAGAGGAGTGAGTGAGTCAGTGAGTGAGCGAGAGAGCGTGTGCATGCGTGCATCCAAGTTTCTCACCTCAAAGATGTCTGTGGGTAAAACTCCACCGCTGAAACACAAAAACACAGTAAAGATGAAGTCAGGCTGACTAAGACACACTGACAGAGCGAGAGAGAGGGAGAGAGAAAGCTGACAGACAGACACAGATCCAAAGTTAGTTAGTCAGGTCTTAGTAGAGGAGCTCAGACCTTTGGTCTTGCGTCGGCGGGTGACAATGATGATGATGAGGACAATGAAGGCCAGGAGGAGGAGTGTGGTCAGGATGTAGCCCAGGGGCAGCAGGAAATGATGTCGCTGATCGGGCAGGATGACGTTGATGACACGTGGCGCCTCAGCCTTGCTGGCCTCTGAGGAACAGAGAGAGGAGCGTTAACCAATGGCTCCCCCTGTCTGTAATTCACCCAGACTAAGATAAAAGTATATTCTGACCACCAGGTGGGGCACTCTGGTCACTGTTGGAAGCTTCACTGATGCTGCTCTGGTAAAGCGAGTGAACAACAACAACAGCTAAATACATTGGACAGTCTGCTGTACAATATAGCTTACAGATGTAATAAATCAATAACTGACCTGTTTGCTATGTTCAGGCTTAGGGATATGTCAAAAAAATAAATAGTTTCTGTACTTCTGTACTTGCTTTTGAGTATTTGTACATATTTGATTTCAGACCGTTGTGTGTGTGTGTGTGTGTGTGTGTGTGTGTGTGTGTGTGTGTGTGTGTGTGTGTGTGTGTGTGTGCGTGTGTGCGTGTGTTTATAGTGGCAACGTGGATGGAGCGCTAGTAGATCAGACTGTGATATCATTGGCTAGGGCATTTAGATTCCCTTTCCCTGCAAAGCCAGTAGAAGTCAATCTCACAGTTATTCAGTGTGTGTGTGTGTATGTGTGTGTATATATGTGCGTCTTTGTCTCTTTTGTCATGTCAATTGGGAACTCCAACACCATGATATCATCCCTACCAGTGCCAAGCCTTGTTGTAACAAAACAAAAAATCCATGATAGTGGACAACAATTGGAAAATTAACAATAGCTGTGTGCTGATCTGCTGAGTGTTGAGAAGTAGAGCCACTACAACTGCTGGTTTCCTTTATGCTCATAAAAAATGTGCAAGGCAAGAGGCAGCCGGGGAGCAGCTGCCCAGTGTGTTTGAGCCTAAATGAGTTCCAGACCTGAAGTCATACTGTGATTTATTTTTCCTGGCAGTAAAACACAGAGAGAGGGATGGAGGGAGGGACAGATGGAAGGAGGGAGGGAAAGAAGGAGAAGGGGATTCAGTGCTTTCTGTACTGTAACTCTTCAAGCATGTCTGTCACAGTAGACTGATTTCAGACCGTTGTGTGTGTGTGTGTGTGTGTGTGTGTGTGTGTGTGTGTGTGTGTGTGTGTGTGTGTGTGCGCGTGTGTGCGCATGCGTCATGTGTGTGTGTGTGCGCGTGGCCTCAGACCCTTACCCTCTCTGCCTGAACAACACTGAGAAGTGGGCCAAATGGGGGGGAGGGGGAGGAAGGGGGTAGCTGCAGCCTAATATGGCGACTGGAGTATGTTCGAGTGGGTGTGTTGAAAGGAAAGGAGTGGATGTGTCGAAAGGACTGGAGTGGGTGTGTTGAAAGGAAAGGACTGGAGTGGGTGTGTCGAAAGGAAAGGAGTGGATGTGTCGAAAGGAAAGGAGTGGATGTGTCGAAAGGAAAGGACTGGAGTGGGTGTGTGGAAAAGAAAGGAGTGGATGTGTGGAAAGGACTGGAGTGGGTGTGTTGAAAGGAAAGGACTGGAGTGGGTGTGTCGAAAGGAAAGGACTGGAGTGGGTGTGTCGAAAGGAAAGGAGTGGATGTGTCGAAAGGAAAGGAGTGGATGTGTCGAAAGGAAAGAACTGGAGTGGGTGTGTCGAAAGGAAAGGACTGGAGTGGGTGTGTCGAAAGGAAAGGACTGGAGTGGGTGTGTCGAAAGGAAAGGACTGGAGTGGGTGTGTCGAAAGGAAAGGAGTGGATGTGTCGAAAGGAAAGGAGTGGATGTGTCGAAAGGAAAGGAGTGGATGTGTCGAAAGGAAAGGAGTGGATGTGTCAAAAGGAAAGGACTGGAGTGGGTGTGTCGAAAGGAAAGGAGTGGATGTGTCGAAAGGAAAGGACTGGAGTGGGTGTGTCGAAAGGAAAGGAGTGGATGTGTCAAAAGGAAAGGACTGGAGTGGGTGTGTCGAAAGGAAAGGAGTGGATGTGTCGAAAGGAAAGGAGTGGATGTGTCGAAAGGAAAGGAGTGGATGTGTCAAAAGGAAAGGACTGGAGTGGGTGTGTCGAAAGGAAAGGAGTGGGTGTGTCGAAAGGAAAGGAGTGGGTCGAAAGCGTTCTGCTATAGGTTAGACTGTTTTGAATTAGTATTGTTTTGTTCTTTTCACCAAACAACTACCGTACCGGGAGAGTTTGGACTTCTCTTTTGAAGCCAGAGGATGAGTTTGAGTCGTATTTTATTTTAGTTTTACACAAATAATTGTAAATGTTCAGTTATAAAACTGACGATTGTTTATTTTTTACTGATGATGGGTGTACTGTTGCCTGAATGCGTTGTATATGTGTGTGCTTACTGTGACTGTCGTGGTCCTCTGTAGCTCAACTGGTAGAGCACGGCGCTTGTAACGCCAAGGTAGTGGGTTCGATCCCCGGGACCACCCATACACAAAAATGTATGCACGCATGACTGTAAGTCGCTTTGGATAAAAGCGTCTGCTAAATGGCATATTATTATTATTATTACTGTCACCCTGATATTGGCTTCCAGTTTAGGTCACGTGTCAAACTCATTCCACGGAGGGCCGAGGGTCTGCGGGTTTTCGCTCCTCCCTTGTACTTCATTGATGAATTAAGGTCACTAATTACTAAGGATCTCCCCTCACCTGGTTGTCTAGGTCTTAATTGAAATGAAAAAACAAAAACCAGCAGACACTAGGCCCTCCATGGAATGAGTTTGACACCCCTGTTTTAGTAGTCTCATTTATCTATCTTCCCATTCTGAATGCAGGTTGCGGGTGATTAAAAGTTATAATTGTTGGATATCCTCACTCTGGCTGGATTCCAATAGAAATTACACATCACTTTGCAAGTGTGCATAATGTGACTTGCAGGCCTGATGTGGCCTGTAAACCAGGAGTTTCCTAACACCCCTGTGTTAGGGTATAACTAGGCCCTCAAAGAAAGGCCTTTTGATATACAGTATGTAATGTATTGTCATAAAGAGTTTAATTTAAAGGCTAATAAGGCTGGTGGAACCGTTCATAGAGGGTTCTAGGAAGAACCCTTCAAAGATAAAAAGGCTTCTTGGTAGAACCATTCATAGAGGGTTCTAGGAAGAACCTTTAGGTGATAAAAGTGTTCTTGGAAGAACCATTTATAGAGGGTTCTTTGAAGAACCCTACATAAAGGGTTCTAGGTAGAACCCTCTGCAAAGGGTTCTACCTAGCACCAAAAACAGTTCCCCTATGGAGACAAACCGAACAACCTCCGTTCGACACACCCACTGGCCATTTTGGGCTGCAGCTACCCATACTTGGGGTCTCTCTCTCTCTCTCTCTGTCTCTCTCTCTCATCAAGTGAATTTCCTGTTTCTTATTTATTTATGACCAATTTTTATTTGTTTTGTCCTTTTTTGTTGGGGAAAAAAACTGTAAGAAATACATACAGAGTTTAAGTAATAATAAATTAAATAGAAACAGGAAAAGCAAACAAAAAAGAAGTGGAACTCCACCCCCAACCTCCCATCCCATTCCCCCAACCCCACCCAGTCAACATCGCTCCATCCAACCCCACTAGCAACTAGGGTTGCTCGTCAGTCTCCCCCCAGACCAGCCACCCCCCTCCCAGCGACCAGAGAAAACCCTCCCCATACCACCCCTTTCCCGTGGGCCTGAAAGTCAAAAATATTTAAATAGGTATATATATATATATATATATATATATATATATATATAGCCAGCAGTAATCGTTTCTGTTTGATTGAGAGATTCAAGGAGCTATCATCGTTAAGTAACATAATAGATGCAAAGCATTGAATATTTACATTCATGAGGCAAAATGCTAGTGCCTGGAAATACAATTTAAAGTTTGGTAAGGATAGTCCTCCTACGTCTTTCCCTCTTTGTAAGTTTGTTCATTTTTATCCGGGATCGTTTACCTTGCCATATAACGTTTGAAACCGCACTATGAATTTTATCCCAATAGCCAGAAGGGGGAGCCATGGGAAGCATTGAACGACAGAAATTCAGCTGTGGCAATATATTCATTTTGACAATAGATATTCTGCTGGTTAAAGCAACTGGGATTTTATTCCATCTAATGAGGTCAAATTGAATTGATTTGAGCGTTCTGTTAAAGTTTCGGTAAGTGTCGAGAGGGGACGACAACATTTTGGAAAAGTTTAATATCTGTGTTTATCAAAGATAGGTGGCCATAGTGAGAACACTGGTGGCATCCTTACCTTTTTTAAATAAAGCGAAATTAGTGCTGTGTTCACATCTCTCCCAAATCAACCTTTGGGAACAGCTGTGTTAATTATTTCGAGCAACAGTGGACATCATTCTTTCAAAACAAAATGATAGACCTCTGGAGGAATACTGTCCCATCCAGATGATTTGCCTTTATTCATGCTATCCAATGCCCTTTTGAGGCGAACTTCCTGTTTCTGTCAATAAACAACAAAAGAGAGAGAGAGAAAGGCAGAGGGGCAGAAGAGAGCATGAGGGAGAGAGAGAAAAAGGATTGTAATAGTGAATACATTTTGATGAGATGGAGGTAAACATACTCTAGATGTAGGCAAAGTCAAGTTCAAATAAGTGCCTGTGGGACCTCAGGATAGGGAGAGGAGAAAAACAGCAAAGGAATGAGAGAGCAATAAAGAGAGAGAGAGAGGGAGAGAGAGTGAGATAGCGAGAGATAGAGGGAGATAGAGGGAGAGAGAGGGAGGGAGAGAGAAAAATGCTCTAACTCCTTTAGAATGTCCGGTCTGGGCCAAAGTCAACAGCAAGCCAGACACCCTGGGCTGAATCAGAGGGTACTACAGACACATCATCTACTGCTCTGTGTGTGTGTGTGTGTGTGTGTATGTGTGTGTGTGTGTGTGTGTGTGTGTGTGTGTGTGTGTGTGTGTGTGTGTGTGTGTGTGTGAGTTCTGTCATGGATGGGAGGTGGAGTGTAGTGGGGGGTTTGGGAATTGCTAAGAGTTAAGTTAAGTTTTAAACATGTTATTCCACTGAGATTGGAGGAACTTTGAATTGAGAGAAAACACACACACCCAAACACCCATAGCTCCAGAGAACACAGATATTTCTCAACCACACTCAATGACTTTCCCACATTCTCCCATTAGTGGCTTCAGAATAGCACCTCTCTCTCTCTCTCTCCATCTCTCCCTCCCTCCCCCTCTCCCTCTCTCTCTCCCTCCCCCTCCCTCCCCATTTGCCCTGGTGGGTTGGCTGATTCCCAGACGCAAACACACAGTTATCTTCTGATCATGGACGGAGCAAAGAAAAAGAGGAGAAAGAAAAAGAGAGGTAATAATGTGAATTAGAGAGAAAGGGAGAGAGGGGGGAGAGAAAGGGAGAGAGGGGGAGAGAGGGGGAGAGAGCATAGCTGAGCTATCTGGGAGGGAGAGAGAGTCTGGTGGCAGAGTGAGCGGAATGGGACAGGGACTGTCTGAAGACAAAACCAGATCCTCAAAACTAACCTAAGACTACCCCCCCCCCCCCCCCCCCCTCCCTTTCCCGTCACATGCACACACACACTCCACCCTCCACATTTTCCCTCTTGAGAGGGGGGGGGGGGTTTGCTGAATGCTGAGTGGGGTGGTGGAGTTGGTTTAGGAAGTTAGGGAGACTGGTGTGGGTGGGTTGCGAGGTAAGGAGTGGGCGGTTTGGAAGGTTGAGGGGTAAGTAGGGGGGAGGAGGGGTAAGGAGGGGAGGAGGGGGTAAGGAGGGAGAGGTTTGGAAGGCTGTTTAGGTTGGGGGAGAGGGGTAAGGAGGGGGTAGGTTAGGGAGACTGGCGTGGGTGGGTTGAGGGTAAGGAGGATTTGGAAGGCTGGGTTGGGTTGGGAGAGATGGGTGAGGAGGGGAGGTGTGGTAAGGAGGGGTATGGGGGGTGAGGAAGAGGGAGGAGGGTGGTTTAGGGGTCTGGCGCCACACTAGCTGACAAGGCAGGAAGAGCTGCTCATAAAACAAATATAATCCCCTAACTACGACTGGTTACTCCCCCCTCCTCTCCTTCCTCTCTCCCTGCTCCTCCTATACTCCCACTCTCCTTCTATTCGTCCCCCTCTTCCTCCTCCCCTCCCACCTCTTAAAATGTGCTGTTTGGAGAAAAGGAAAAGCCAATGATGTTTGAGGACGATAGGGAAGAAGGGATAGGGAGGGAGGAGAGCAAATGAAAGAGCAGCTGGGATTTCTCTCTAAGTTGTACATATGCACTTGCACGATTTCTACAGTGGTCAACTGGAGTGCAGTATAGTGGTGTGTGTGTGTGTGGTGTGTGTGTGTGTGTGTGTGTTGTAAGTTGTACATGCAGTATCTCACCCTTGTCTTGGTTGGGCAGTGCTCTGGGGGCAACAGTAGCCCGAGGCTCAGGTGGTCCTATGGTGAGCTGAAACTGTCTTCTCTCATGGAGACCACAGTAGTGATGATGTAGGTGACAGGTGTACAGACCCTGATCTCCTGGCTGTGGGGCAGACAGCCAGATGCATACAGTCAGAAAACCCTGTTTTACCACTGTACCACTGTAGTTACTATGACGTTACACAGTTGTTACATGTGGTGCACAGACAGACAGACACGTGATGGTGGTATAGAGGACCTGCAGGGCAGAGATAGCCAGAGAGAAGTCTCCCTGTGAGAAGGCCTCAGCGCTGATTTTCATCTTCCTCTGGAGGAACAGGGGTCCGTAGCTGCGCTGCTCCCCAGAGGCGTACAGGTCTATCAGGCGGTCTGCACGGTCGTGACGAACACCCGGAGGCTGCCGGTCCCAATGCACCACCTAAGACCAGATAGAGAAGGATTGGACAATACATTATAGTAAAAGAGACCAGCAACCTGATAACTTTAAAAATATATCCTTCTTTCCAATTACCCTTGAAGTAATCACTGGACTGTCATTACATGATTAATGAAAGCAATGCTGGGAAAGCATGCACTGCCTAAGATGGGATAGAGGGTTAAGATTGATATTAGGTCATAAAAGTGCCCAGGAAGTATACATGACAAGACTAAGATAGAGAAGTATTTGAGATCATGTCATAAAGGAAGCCAGCTGTTCCAATCCTTCCATTCAGTTCTATTCACTTGGAGTTACATTTTTCTTCCTGTCCAGATATAATCCTCCTGAATGACATCACTGTCTAATTCTTCCTCATCTCATTCTAGTACTGTGAAAAAGCATTCATAACACACACACACACACACACACACACACACACACACCTGCTGTTCCTCCTCACTGCCATCTTCTGTCCACACAGAGCGGCGATTCACACACGGCAACACCACTGTGCTGCCTACCAACACCACAAACACAGCTTTCTGACCGTCCCAGAACCGCTGCTCCTTACGACCTGAAACACACACAGATAGATCACAATACAACCACATGTTGAGAGAGGTTAGGACCACAATACGACCATATCATTACTATTTTCCCCTACTTGGGATAAGACAGAACTTACGTGACTTGGTGACGTTGACCTGTATTCTGATCGTCTCATACAGGTGACAGTAGTGATGGTGCAGGTTACAGGAGTATAGGCCTCTGTCACTTATCGCAATGTCTAGAGAGAAAGGGAGAGAGGGAGAGAAAGAGATGGCCTCAAGTCACATTAAGACAAAAAGACAGAGAGACAGACAGACAGCTCTCACCTCTGATGACGAGGGAGAAGTTTCCATCGTTGAAAGCTGATTGGCTGAGGCTGACCCTCCCCTGGTTGTGTCCGTTATAGATGCGCTGGTCTCCAGCAGAGAACATGTCTGCCACCCTCTCCATGGCGTAGTCTGGCCCTGGGCGGTACAAGTCCCAGTGAACCACCCTCTGTCTGTCCTTCAGTCTGTCCCTGGTCCACACCATGCGCCCGCTCACACACTGCAGTACCACCTTAGAGCCAGTGGGGGCGCTCACGTTGTAGCCCGCAACCACCACAGTGCTGCTGTCGGACTGGGCCAACACTAAAAGAAAGAAAGAAAGAAAGAAAGAAAGAAAGAAAGAAAGAAAGAAAGAAAGAAAGAAAGAAAGAAAGAAAGAAAGAAAGAAAGAAAGAAAGAAAGAGAGATAAGCATGGACTTATTTGCATGACATAAACACACTCACAAACACGGTCATATCTAACATACACACACTTATACTGTACACACACTCAAACCTAATACATTACATTAAAGTTGCACTCATACTAAATATTTACATACATACACACACAACACACACGCACATACGCACACACAGTATTCTGGTAAATCAGTAAGAGGCTACTCACCAGCAGTGGAGAGGAAGGCCGCAGGGACTGTAACAGAAACATGAGAGTCATTATACTAATTACAAACAGACCCTAGTCACTCACACACACACACACCAGGGGACTCTGGTTAAACACACACATGTATGTACAAACACACTCAGATACACACACCACAGGAGACTCAGGAAAAAACCCACAGAAGCCACAGTAACATTACAGCAGTAGCATCCCAGCTAAAGAGACCCCATTAAATCCCATGGTGACATAGCCAGTCCAAAGCCAAAGTTCACTCAACATGAAACTGTTTCACTGCCACTGGATAACTTCAACCATTAGACACACTGTGCGGGAAAAACCCTGGATCAAGTGTTCATAGGAACCCATTTGGAACCCTTTTGAACAGGATGAAGTGTCTAGTTGAGCAACACATTCTAGTGGAAAATGGAGGATGAGCAAGAGGCTGCTACACACTGATTCAAGGTCAGTTTTGCAATTCCATCCCTAATGGGTTTATGGTTGGGATTTGGGGAGTATTAAAGTGATGCTAGATATGTGCCTATAAGGACAAATCTATGAGAAAGGATGCTGCTCCAACTGACTTATGACATCCCTTTCTGATTTCTGTCCAAGCACTCCATCTGACCTGAGATGACTTTGCCTCTGATAAGCTCATCCTGTCCAGAGCTCCACAAACACACACCTTGGCCCACCAATCACACTTAGAGAGAATAAGTATAGGTAAGAATGCTGCACAGCTGTACTATAAAGAGAGAGAAAGAGAGCGAGAGAGAGAGAGGGAGGGAGGGAGAGAGAGAAATGGGCAGAGAGATAGGGTAGGAAATAGGGTAGAGATGGGAAAGAGGGTTAAAGGAGAGAGAAGGCAAAAGAGAGAGTGAGGAGTGATAAGTGGAGGGCATAAGGTGGCAGCTTTTTGCCCTGATGGGAGAGAGATGAGGTGATGGGGGTGAGTATGAGTGGGTGAGGTGTGGGAGAGAGTGGTGTAGGGTAAGCCTACGTAGCTGTGTTGTCTTGGGGCTCAGAGTAGGTGTTTAATAAGAGAGGCGTAGAGGAATCAGCCCTACCAACTAACACCACATTAGCAAAGATACTTTACCACACTGGAAAAACAGACCCTATAAAACACACACTGTAATTTACTCTTTGTTACTCCAGACCACAGAAACACCCAATAACAGAAACACGCACATTGTATATTAGATACATAGTCAAGCACATATAGTACTCAAACATATACCTGCACAGACGCATGCACAGACACAGACACAGACGCGCACACACACACACACACACACACACACACACACACACACACACACACACTGTGAGACTGTTGCATGCTCTAGTCTGAACAGCTTCCATTCCAGTAAGTCAGTAAGTGAGTCTGTACTGGTCATCAACCAGTATCCAAACACACATCCCATAACACTCAACTGCTTTACAGTCCTCTGGTAAGAGAATGGATAGGAGCAGAGAAAAGAAGCAAAGACCGACAAGACAGACCGAGAAACAGACAGACAGACAGACAGACAGACAGACAGACAGACAGACAGACAGACAGACAGAGACAAACACACACAAACACCCAGTTCATAGTTCTGTCTCTGGAAGCATAGTTCTAGCAGCTGGTTTTTCTTTAGAATATAATTTCTGTCCAAACAATAACAGGGTAGGACTACCTCTCATCTGACATTATGTGGGCATGAGAAAAGGTGCCATCTACTTCAGCCTTTGAAATGTTGAGCTTACCTTGCTGGTTTGGGAACAGGAACCATACCCCCATACCTATGCGTGCACGTGCACACAAATCTAGTGCTAAAATAGTGCATAACTGCTCAGACTCACTGTGCTGTGTGTTAGGCTAAACTAGGCTAGATCAAATGACCCAAAATTAACACAATGTGTATAGGCTTGACAAAATTATAGTAGGCCAAAAGCTAATAAAATAACAGTGCAGTATTTCAAGTTGAGTTGGCTACTTACTTTGGACCAAGAGGAGGGCTTGAATGACGTCCGGTATCTTCATCTCAAATCTGTTGTTTACAGAGGAGCAGGGACTTTTTGCAGTGACCGTTAGGCTACACCTATTGCCAGTCTCACCTGAGGAAAAAACAAACAATGTCCGCTCATCCGTCTGCTCAACTGTTCCTCGGCTCACGAAAACAGCGACTGTCTGATGTGCTGCGTAAACTTTTCACTGCATTCAGCGACTGAACCAAACAACCTCCGTTACCCGAAACGAACGGACTCGAACTAACCCTCCTTCGTTTGCCTGCTGAACAAACCCCGGCTCCTCCCGTTGCAGGCCCGGCCCATCTCCCTGTGCTGAATCCCAACTCCATCGGGCCTCCTCCACCTCCAGGCTGCACCCTCATATTAACCCTCTTTAATCCTCTCATCGCTTCTACTCTACTCTCACCATATTAGCAGTGGTGGAAAAAGTACCCAATTCTCATACATGAGTAAAAGTAAAGATACAGTATCTTAATAGAAAATGGCTCAAGTAAAAGTGAAAGTCACCCAGTAAAATACTACTTGAGTAAAAGTCTAAAAGTATTTGGTTTTAAATATACTTAAGTATCAAAAGTAAATGTATTTGCAAAAAAATACTTAAGTATCAAAAGTAAAAGTAGAATCATTTCAAATTGTTTATATTAAGCAAACCAGAGGCACACTCCAACATTCAGACCTAATCTACAAACAAAGTGTTTGTGTTCATTGAGTCCGCCAGATCAGAGGCAGTAGGGGTGACTAGGGATGTTCTCTTGATAAGTGTGTGAATTTGACCATTTTCCTGTCCTGCTAAGCATTCAAAATGTAAGGAGTATTTTGGGTGTCAGGGAAAATGTATGGAGTAAAAAGTACATTATATTCTTTAGGAATGTAGTGAAGTAAATATAAACAGTAAAGTAAAGTACAGATACCACAAACAACTACTTAAGTAGTACTTTAAAGTATTTTTACTTAAGTAGTTTATACCATTAGTTCACTGAACTCAAACTAAACAGGAGTGGATACACAAAATTATGTCTGAGGTAGGCCTATTGGCTGTAGTGTGTTTGGCTTTCATGCATTTGTGCTATGATTTTTCTTTCCATATTATGACTGTTGTCTTGCACAATACGCACCTGCTCTCAGCTGGCCTTTTCTTCTTTTTTTTTTTTTTACATCTTTTGTGGTGTCCCAGGAAATTCTAGACTAGAATAGCTTGTTGGACATGTTTTGGTTGTTGCATTTTCTTATACTAATAGACTATTCGAAGAGGGATGCAAGCTTGCTTTTGTTTGCAGAATGTTAAATGCAGCAGCCAAAATAACTTGCGATGAGTTTGAATGAAGAGCGAGCACACTGCGCGATTGCGATAGGCTATAGATTTAGACCCATAACCATTCAATATTCATGAAAAGGATCTAAAAGCCGTCTGCATCTTATTCTAGTACTATATTATTCAAGCATGTCATTACAATGTTAAAGATAAGGACAACAAAACGTATTTAACTGTTGAGAGCAAGGAAGGAATGAAGCAACAATAGATAGGGGAAGAGGAATACGCATGTCGCACAACATTAGGGGAAATATTATAATTATAAGTAATGCGTCAGCCTACTAATATAACAATTCAAATCAAATTCGCTATTCTATAATTATAAACTTTATAGGCCGCATGCCCTGCACCAGCATCGCTTGTCGCTTGCTTGTTCTCTCCCAACTTCATGGTTTGAACGAGGTGCGTAAATCCAGTCCAGTAATACAGTCCTCACTCAAAAAGATGACTGGAGCTTGTTTGATTTCTTCCCCCAAGAGAGCATACATCTATGGGCTTTTATGTTTTTCTGTGTGTGTACAGTGGGGAGAACAAGTATTTGATACACTGCCGATTTTGCAGGTTTTCCTACTTACAAAGCATGTAGAGGTCTGTAATTTTTATCATAAGTACAATTCAACTGTGAGAGATGGAATCTAAAACAAAAATCCAGAAAATCACATTGTATGATTTTTAAGTAATTAATTTGCATTTTATTGCATGACATAAGTATTTGATCACCTACCAACCAGTAAGAATTCCGGCTCTCACAGACCTGTTAGTTTTTCTTTAAGAAGCCCTCCTGTTCTCCACTCATTACCTGTATTAACTGCACCTGTTTGAACTCGTTACCTGTATAAAAGACACCTGTCCACACACTCAATCAAACAGACTCCAACCTCTCCACAATGGCCAAGACCAGAGAGCTGTGTAAGGACATCAGGGATAAAATTGTAGATCTGCACAAGGCTGGTATGGGCTACAGGACAATAGGCAAGCAGCTTAGTGAGAAGGCAACAACTGTTGGCGCAATTATTAGAAAATGGAAGAAGTTCAAGATGACGGTCAATCACCCTCGGTCTGGGGCTCCATGCAAGATCTCACCTCGTGGGGCATCAATGATCATGAGGAAGGTGAGGGATCAGCCCAGAACTACACAGCAGGACCTGGTCAATGACCTGAAGAGAGCTGGGACCACAGTCTCAAAGAAAACCATTAGTAACACACTACGCCGTCATGGATTAAAATTCTGCAGCGCACGCAAGGTCCCCCTGCTCAAGCCAGCGCATGTCCAGGCACGTCTGAAGTTTGCCAATGACCATCTGGATGATCCAGAGGAGGAATGGGAGAAGGTCATGTGGTCTGATGAGACAAAGATAGAGCTTTTTGGTCTAAACTCCACTCGCTGTGTTTGGAGGAAGAAGAAGGATGAGTACAACCCCAAGAACACCATCCCAACCGTGAAGCATGGAGGTGGAAACATCATTCTTTGGGGATGCTTTTCTGCAAAGGGGACAGGACAACTGCACCGTATTGAGGGGAGGATGGATGGGGCCATGTATCGCGAGATCTTGGCCAACAACCTCCTTCCCTCAGTAAGAGCATTGAAGATGGGTCGTGGCTGGGTCTTCCAACATGACAACGACCCGAAACACACAGCCAGGGCAACTAAGGAGTGGCTCCGTAAGAAGCATCACAAGGTCCTGGAGTGGCCTAGCCAGTCTCCAGACCTGAACCCAATAGAACATCTTTGGAGGGAGCTGAAAGTCCGTATTGCCCAGCGACAGCCCTGAAACCTGAAGGATCTGGAGAAGGTCTGTATGGAGGAGTGGGCCAAAATCCCTGCTGCAGTGTGTGCAAACCTGGTCAAGACCTACAGGAAACGTATGATCTCTGTAATTGCAAACAAAGGTTTCTGTACCAAATATTAAGTTCTGCTTTTCTGATGTATCAAATACTTATGTCATGCAATAAAATGCAAATTAATTACTTAAAAATCATAGAACGTGATTTTCTGGATTTTTGTTTTAGATTCCGTCTCTCACAGTTGAAGTGTACCTATGATAAAAATTACATACCTCTACATGCTTTATAAGTAGGAAAACCTGCAAAATCGGCAGTGTATCAAATACTTGTTCTCCCCACTGTAAGGGCGGTAGCCTATATAGCCTATCATAGGCCTATTTGGATAATGGCACAATCATTCAGGCTTTTTTGGGCTTGGGCTCATAAAACGTATTTAATGTAGGGCTCATCTGGCTCAGGTAGCAATAAGCTTGAATGTTCATGCCGATCAAAGCTCTAATCAAATGCAGACATATTTATATGCTTTACATGCTTTAGAATGACACTTATTGCTTTGATGGGAAATACCGGGTTACCCTGGAGAAAAGTTATTTATTCTCCAGATGGAACACTTGTAAAATACCAGTCAAATATTAAACCTTAGTCAAAGCCTATAGGGGAAAGTACAGTTCTGCACTGTCTGTGGGTCAGCCAGTGGGTCACTCAGCGCAGCTCATAGGGACAGCATTGCTAAGTTCTATTGGCACCTTGAGTCTGTTTAAATCAAATAAAATAAAATGTTATTTGTCACATACGCTGAATACAACTGGTGTAGACTTTACCGTGAAATGCTTGCTTAAGAGCCCTTCACAACAATGCAGAGTAAAAAAAAATGTACACAATGAAATCATAACACAAAAGGAATCAAATAAAATACACAAGAATGGAGCTATATACAGGGAGTACCAGTACCAGATTAATGTGCAGAGGTATGAGGTATTTGAGGTAGATATGTACATGAAGGCAGGGTAAAGTGACTGGGCATCAGGATACATAATAATAAGAGTAAAATATAGAGCAGAGTAGCAGCAGCAAATAATGAGTGTAAAAGTGTGTGAGTGTGAGTGTGCGTGTGTGTAATGTGTATGTATGTGTGTTTGTGTTGTGTCGGCATGTGTGTGTGTGCATATGTAGTGTACAGTGAGGGAAAAAAGTATTTGATCCCCTGCTGATTTTGTACGTTTGCCCACTGACAAAGAAATGATCAGTCTATAATTTTAATGGTAGGTTTATTTGAACAGTGAGAGACAGAATAACAACTAAAAAATCCAGAAAAACGCATGTAAAAAATGTTAAAATTGATTGGAATTTTAATGAGGGAAATAAGTATTTGACCCCCTCTCAATCAGAATGATTTCTGGCTCCCAGGTGTCTTTTATACAGGTAACGAGCTGAGATTAGGAGCACACTCTTAAAGGGAGTGCTCCTAATCTCTGTTTGTTACCTGTATAAAAGACACCTGTCCACAGAAGCAATCTATCAGATTCCAACTCTCCACCATGGCCAAGACCAAAGAGCTCTCCAAGGATGTCAGGGACAAGATTGTAGACCTACACAAGGCTGGAATGGGCTACAAGACCATCGCCAAGCAGCTTGGTGAGAAGGTGACAACAGTTGGTGTGATTATTCGCAAATGGAAGAAACACAAAAGAACTGTCAATCTCCCTCGGCCTGGGGCTCCATGCAAGATCTCACCTTGTGGAGTTGCAATGATCATGAGAACGGTGAGGAATCAGCCCAGAACTACACGGGAGGATCTTGTCAATGATCTCAAGGCAGCTGGGACTATAGTCACCAAGAAAACAATTAGTAACACACTACACCGTGAAGAACTGAAATCCTGCAGCGCCCGCAAGGTCCCCCTGCTCAAGAAAGCACATATACATGCCCGTCTGAAGTTTGCCAATTAACATCTGAATGATTCAGAGGAGAACTGGGTGAAAGTGTTGTGGTCAGATGAGACCAAAATGGAGCTCTTTGGCATCAACTCAACTCGCCGTGTTTGGAGGAGGAGGAATGCTGCCTATGACCCCAAGAACACCATCCCCACCGTCAAACATGGAGGTGGAAACATTATGCTTTGGGGGTGTTTTTCTGCTAAGGGGACAGGACAACTTCACCGCATCAAAGGGACAATGGACGGGGCAGTGTACC